TATTTTGATCTATGTTTTCTTCTGCTACATGACTAATATAGAGATATGTTTTGCATTACTACACATATATAACCTATATCAAATTGTTTGCTTTCTCAATGAAGAGGGTAAGGAGGGAGGGGGAGAATTTGGAATTCAGTTTTTAAAATGAATGTTGAAAATTGTTTTTACATGTAATTGCAGGAAAATAAAATACTAAATTAAAAAAAACACACAAAAACCCCAAATGGGGTCACGAAGAGTTGGACAGAACTATACATACATGTGCCCATACATGCTTATGTAATGTGTTATATAGCTATCTGTACAAAAACACCAAAACAGAAACATTAAAAGCTTAGCTTGATTTTTCAGTGGAGATTCTCAGCTTGATGCCTGTGTATATCAGTTGCATAGACAATATCTATGAGATCTATTCTAGTGAATTATATGTGTTCAAAATAAAAATGTTTTGTGGAAGGTATAGCAGCAGTTCTCTTAAAATGGAGCCAGAAGCATTACAGGTTGTTTTGACATGCATTGAGCGATGTGTCACCAAATATACTGCTTTTGACCCTTGGAAGGAAAAGGATGGAAAGCTAGCCAAAGGAAAAGATAATCAAAGCATCTGGGACCAGAACCAAACAAATATGTATTTAACCTGCTTGTAAGAAAACCTGGTCACTGAGAGTATGAGTCAGTCCCTTCCCTCCTGATCCCTTCTCCGACCTCCCTGACCTTAGTGGCCTGATTCCATTGGTAGAACAAGAGGATTGCATGACCAAATTCTGGGGATTTCACTCAAAACTGTTGTCAGCTGATTGGCAGGTTCAGTCTCTCCTCTCTGGATTTTCTCATCAAGCAGTGATGGGTCACATATCATTTTCAAAGCATGAGTTTACACACCCAAGCCACGTGTACAGAGGACTGTATAGCGACCAGTCAAAGCACTACTTCATTCACAGACCTTTTAGGAATTCATGGAAAGGATCGGTCTTTTCAATTAGTCAGAGAATATACACAATGAAATGTGGAGTAGTGTGCTATCCTGACCTATAGTGTACGAGTTTGAGTACCGTCACTGATACTGACTTGCTGTGTGGCACCATGTTTTACATAAGTTATCATAAGAAAAAGATTTTATAAACTGTGAGTGCTATAGATATGTAAACTATTATTATGGATCAGTAAATATTTGATAATAATGCATATTAGCATAATGCTTTAAGGTTTATAAAGTACTTTCCTTGTCACAATCCTTCAACAGAGTAGTGTAAATATCATTATCCCTCCTGTAGCACTCAAATCTTGGTTCTGCTATTTATAAGCTGTGTGACCTTGGACAAATCTCCAAACCTCTATGTGCCTCATTTCTATAAAAGAAGGAAGCTGAAGTAGGTGGCCTCTAAGATCTTGGCTCTAAAGGTATGTTCCTGTGACATTAAGAGATGAAAAAAGTGAGGATAAAAGAGGTTAAACATTTAAATGAGTCGCCAACAATCAAGAGCATAAAGCTAGCTAATCACAAAGATTGGATTCAGACCCATTTTTTTTTTCTGATATCAGATCTACTGACCTTTCTAATTATACCACAGGACCTGTACTTTCTGAGTACTTCCTCTATGTTTAATACAGTCCTAAATACCAAGCAAAGCAGGGAAGGCAGTGCACTGTCAACCTCTATATCAAGGACAGCCTGTCTGGTGCACTGAGTCAAGAACAGCATTTCAAAGCCCCCTCTATCACTCACTAGCTGTGTGACCCTGGACCAAACACCTAACCTCTCTGCACCCGATTTCTTCATCCGTAAAATAAAAAGCCAGGACTTGATACTCTCTGAGATCCCTTCCAGCTCTGAATCTATGATGCTATTATCTTAGATGTACCATTTTTAGTACTCAAACCAAAGGCAAGTAGCATAAAATTCTGGGAAATACACTGGTCAGGGAGTCAGGACCCCTGGTTCCTGGCCCTGGCCCTGACATCAACTAGCTACATGACCTTGGCCATGTAGCTTCTACCCTATGGGCTTCAGTTTTCTTCTATGTAATATATGTAATGTGAGGTTAGACTAGATACTCATCTAGAAAATGAGGAGATTGAACTTGATTTCTAAGGTCTTTCTCTTTAATTCTACAATCTCATGACCTTCTAAACTTTCAAAAGTCCTTGGGTTTCTGAACTCCGATTAAGTTCCATCTGTGCTCAAAAACCTTCTACAGGGCAGAGAAGGTGCTGCAAGGGAGAGAACCCTGGATTTTAAGTCAGGAATACCTAAGCTCAAATCCTGACTCAGAGACATTGATTAGCTGTGTGGCTCTGGGGAAATCATTTCTCTCAGCCTCAGTTTCATCTTTAAAATGAAGGAGTTGGACTAGAGATTTCTAAGGGTCCTTCCCATCTCTAAAGCTATGGTCCTTTGACTTAAATGTGAATCCTGCCTCTGCCACTTTCTTATGTGACCTTAGGAAAGTCACTTCCCTTCTGTGGCCTCAATGTCTGCATCTCTAAAATGGCAGGGCAAGACATGACCAACTTTCCAACTCCCTATCTATTACCTTATTATCTCACTGTCTCTTTCGTCTCTCAAGCTCACTCTCAGAAGAAATCTAGCTTACTACTTTGAGCTAGCCAGAGCCATCTCTCTGCTACATTGTCCTGTATCCCCTCAATTATATTCCTTCCCTACAACCATTTCCTTTCATAATACACAGTATTTGATTAGCTTACTTTTCTGGTCCATAAGTTATGGAAAAGGGAAAAACAATCTAACTGTGATCATCTGGGCTTTTCAATTCAATAAACATTCTTTAAGCACTTATCAAGTGCCAGGCACTGTGCTAGGCTCTTAGAGTACATAGACCAAAAAATGAAACCATTCCTGCTTTCAAGGAGTTTGCATTCCTTGATTTGCCTCCAACTCCCAATCACAGGTTTTTCTATATGCTCTGTGTCTTTAGGAATTTTTTCCTATTGAGATTAAAAGCCTGTCCTGATATTTCTGGTGTAATAATTGGGTCTAAATCTGCCTTATGCTTCTTTTGCATAACATTACTTAATTAAGGAATCTACTCAACTCAGTTGAGAGCTGGGAAGGGTCCTTAAATAGGATCAAATTCAACCCCTTTATTTTGTAGTTGAGACAACCTGAAACCCAGAAAGGAAAAGAGACTTTATCAGGAAGGAATAGAGAACAGAGCTGGTATGTGTACTCAATGTCCTTCAACTCCAAATCTAGTACTCTTTCAACTACCCCACATTTTCTCCCTACATCACATACATGTTTATAGGGCAGATGAGTGGGAGAGATCTTTTTCATTGGAAAAACACTATAGTAGTTAGAGGGATATTATCTATAAACAAAATGATTAAGAACTCTATGAAATCCTGCCCATTCCTAAATGTTTGTAATTAATGTGCGCTGTCTTGGGGAGGAAGGTGAGGAGGGAGAGGGAGAAAAATTTAAAACTCAAAAGCTCATGGAAGTGATTGTTGATAATTCAAAATAAATTAATTAAAAATTTTAAAAATACGGAAAAAAGCTTGTAATTGACAAGTTTTGGCCTATTTGTTTTGATGAGGTATTAGGTTATATATAGAATGAATTGAAAATGTGTTGAATCAACATTTTTCCCCCCTAACTAATGATTTAATTGGCATAAAGAACTGCTAGGGAGGAAACTTCCTTTATGAATTCAGATGGCCATCAGCTCTGCCACTTAAAAATTATCTTATAAAAAAAGCAGTTCTTAACCTGAAATCCATGAACTTTTAAAATACATATACACACATATACATAATATGAGATTTTCTTTGTAATCCCATGTACTTAATGAATTGAAAAACATTATTCTAAGAAAGGGTCTATAAACTTTACTGAACAGCTGAAGGGGTCCAGGGCCCACTCAATATGGTTATATTGCCAATGGTCACACAATCAGTATGTGTGACAGGAGGGACATGAACCCCAGACACATGGCCAACCAAGTTTACCTGATTTTAGGCTACACAAAGGGAGGAAATATCCAAGGCAAGAAATACAGGAAGTCTGCTGTTACATACTCTGCCCTGTTTTATCCAGGCTGCCACCTTTTAGGACAAACTTTGAAAAGTTCACAGGCCAGAGGAAGTCACCCGGCAGAGCGAAGAGACTGAAGACCACATGATTAAGAGTTGGCTGAAGGAACTAGGGACGTGTAGTTTGGAGAAAGCCCAAGGGAGCTATAATAGCTATTTTTCAGTATTTAAAGAATTGTCCTGTGAAAGAGGTAATTGACTGGTTCTGCTTGGCCTAAGAGGGAAGAACTAAGTATAAATAACCAAAGAGAGGGGCACAACAGGTGGAGACTGCCAAAAGACAAGATTTGGGTGTCATGTCCTACAAACTGGAGCTTTCCAAAAGTGAATGGCTCTTTCTTGGGAGGTAATGAGCGTCTCAATCTCAGAAGTCTTAAAAGTGAGAATAGATGATGACTTGGCAATGGTGTTGGAGAGAATTTGGACCATATGACCTCTTCAGTCTTTCCAACTCTTAGATTATCTATGATAAGTTTGTGAGCAAACCAATTTATACGTTAAACAGTGTCAAGTCACAAAGTGACTTCAGACTTGTAAACAGCACTTTCAAAAAATTTTACCTATTTTTTTCTGTTTCTTCCATGTGTTTCCTTCCCTCCCCCCAGCCAAAGAAGGTTAACAGGGTTTCAACGTTTCCATAAATTTGAATATACTTGTAGTCAAGACAGAATGGTACTGTAGAAAGAGCATTGGCCTATGATTCACAAGTGATTTAGGGTCTAGTTAGCCCAGGCTTTAGCATACAACCTTAGAAACACAACCTCCCTTCTCTAGAGATCAGTTTCCTTGCCTAAATGAGGTTGGATGAGATGATGTCTAATATTTCTTCTGACATTTTCAAGGTGGTAAAGCACCTTTCCAGGGCACCCAGGCCAAGTCAAAAGACCACTGACATTTTATTATCAAACACATACACACAAATTAAAATGTTATCAAAAGCACAGTTTAAAAAAAAATTAAATGTTGCTTTATTTACCCACTGAATTCACATCTCCTGAAATTTCCTTACAGATTGACTGAAAGCAACATTTACATAAAAAATAAAACAGGGAGGTGGGGTGCAATGAGGCAGACTCATCATCAAGGTACCACAGAATAGCAAAATGACCCACCAACTACTCACAATCAACAACAACAACAACATTACGTTCTGGAATCCAGGCAGGGAAGTGCATGACTGCAACAGATAGGATAGTCTCTCCTTTCCCATAATCCCCTCCTTCCCTGCCCAGATGACTTATTTCTTTGATTGGAAAAAGCCAAAACATTTCGAATGGTCATGTACAATGGCAAAAGAGCAGTAAACAAACAAAAGAAAATGGCTATGAAAAGGATATAGTGTTGCATGGTAGGATACTTCCTTCATGATTCCATAGCTAGTTCCTAACATTCCATCTTCTTCAATAGCAGACACTTTGTGTCTGTTCAATAAAAACTAAAACCTCCCCCATCAGTGTTTCTTTTTTCTTAAACTAAGAGTGTCCAGCCATCAATAATCTTATTCAATCAGCACATTTTTTTCTCTTGAGGCCGTTGAGGGAGGCCAAGTGTGGTAGCTAGGCCAAACGCTGCAGTGAAGCCCTACAGGATCATTTCCCCCTTGAATTAAAGGACACTTTTTGCTATGTATTTATTTACAGTCTTAAAAGCCAGGAAAATTATATCCCTGCTTAGACCCTAAAGTTGAAAAGCCCTTTGACGTTTGAGTCAACTTAATAAGAAGGAACTCATCCCATCAATACACAAATACAGTACATGCTATTCTTGTAACACCTTGATTGAACGTGATAATGTATGCTAAGCAGGGGAGCCATGGAAGCAGGAAAAGGAATTTCACACAATCCAGACTCTCCCTTCTGGGTGATGTCATGATGTTAGTGTTTTGTGGTCTATATTTTTGTGAAAATAAAAAAAAAAAGTAATGGTGGGGGACAAGGGTGATTAGAAAGGAGTGTGTGAATGCAGTCACATACCTGTTTTGACTCTTGCAAAATATCAAGCGGGGGTCAGCATGTAACAATACCTGGACTACTAGTGAAAATACAGCCATCAGCTTCATTGATAACTAAGGATAATCCAACCAAATGTTGAAGGCCTCCATCAGAAGTCAACCATCATATACTGCTTGCTAAATAGACTCTCTCAAAAGAAAAATTTAGTCTGGGGTAGAATTTATTAACCTGAGGCAAGCTTCAGAGTTTCTTTTGCAACCCCTAGAATAAGGAGATCCCTCTAGAAAGAAGAATTAACCATAAGTACAAAGTATAAGGTGTCCCTTTAAAGGGACAAAAGTCTCAGCATATATTTTGGGGCACCCTGTATTCTCCAAAATCTCCAAAATTCTCCAAAATCTCTCTTTCAAAATGAAAAGTCCACCTGGCACTATAAGTGCCTCATTTTGGGGTATTTTTTTAAAATGTTTTCTCTGATCTGTGGTCACTTCATGCACAGCTTACCTAAACAAGAATCTGTCTTTGCTTTCCAATTCACATTGCAAAGGTGGCACTTTCATGGGATTTGCTTTGCTTCATGAAGCTGAGTCGGAAACCATTTAAGCAGAATAAACTCAAAATGATATACAAGCGAGAAAAAACAACATGGTGAATGAATCACGTACAATACATTAGCAGCATACAAGTTGGCATAAAGGAAACCCATTGGTGGCTTATTGCACTTAATACCAGGTTGGTTCTCAAGCGGCTCAATAAGCCTGCATGTTAGATCTACAAAGAACAGTAGCTCATTTAGATTTATACAAAAAATTTAACAGTCAGCCCAACTGATGGCACGATCTTAATTGGTGATTGACAAGTAGGGATGATGGCGGGAGCACCGTGGAAAGGGTGTGCGGGAGGGGCTGTCTTGGGATTTATGAGACCCTGACTTGTGATATGAAAACTCCAAAGCATCAGTTATTGGGGAATTAGCCCATGGCCATTTGCCACTTCTTGGATGGCAGCAAAAGTACGTTGTGTGCTGGAGGAGGTAAGTAATTAACTTGGAAAATCCAAGAAATTCTGTCAGAGTTTTTCTGGCCAAAAATTTTGATGATGTCCCAGGACAGAAAAAGGTCATTCATTTGGAACTGAGCACAAGCTAGGAACTAAGGATTCAACTAGTACCAAACTGAACGGTTCCTCTATTTTAAATGTGTGTAAATTATGTGCACACAGTGTGTATATTTAGGCACGTATACACATATGTGTGTGTGTGTGTGTGTGTATATATATATATATATATATGTGTGTGTGTGTGTATGTGTGTGCGTGAGATTTAGGCTCAAGGACACCTACTAACATGAATAAGGTGTACCTTACACTTAATTTTGGGAAGAATATACAAGAAGTATATTACTGATTCAGTTAACAAGTCACTCCACCTCCACAGACAGCACAGGACATTCACTGTTAGGTTGATCACTTCTCAAGTTCTGTAGGCTTGTGTTTGAAATAGAATACAGGGTATTTACTCAAGGACCAACACTTTCATTTCATATGTATGAAATACATAGAAAAAAAGGCACTGAGCACAGTACAGGCTGTTACAGCCATAGAAAACGTTGTGAAATCATTTTTCAAAGGCTTGAAGTTGTTTCACAAGTATACATCTCATAAACAGCTTATGGCCAACTGATACACATGGCTAATGCTACCGTCTGACAGTATGCAAAAATGGCTCCATGAGGCGAGAGAAGCATTCTGGAAGGCAAGGCTTCAGTAAGAATAATTCTACCAACTTCATAACTTTAAAGAGAGCAGATACATTAATATACATTGTCTTGATTTCTTTAAATATTAAGATAAGACATTAGCTTCTATACAACCCATTTTATACTTGTGAAGACTCACAGAAATTCAACACACCAAAGCATGCCTGATTCCCAGGTTAGAGACAACAGCATTCAAGAACTGGGGTGGGTTAGTTCTTTGTAATGCTAAAAAGTCTGTCTTTGGGAAAAACAATTCTGAAATTTCCTGGAAGGCCAGCCTTCCTGGATTTTAGTGGACATTTAATTCATTAAATTTAAGCACTGGGCCCCCAAAAAAATCATGTTTTACCTGATTTAGTCTTCTTAATTTTTGCAATGTGTGTGTGTGTGTGTGTGTGTGTGTGTGTGTGTTTCTTTTAAATCAAATGATTTTAGTTCTTTGGGTAAATGGCAAGATGTGAATGCTTTGTTAGACACAGTCCTTTCCTTTTTATTTTTTGTCTTACAATCACTCAATAGGAAGACCAAGGTGTACAAAATGTTCTAGAGGACGGAAGTTTTTGATAACATGGCGATGTTCTGGAGGGTGAAATGTTGCCTTACCATGACAATTCTGACTTAAGCAGCTGTTGCTGCTCCATGATCTTCTAATAACTGGATTCTGGACACACACTTTAACAGTTATAAACAGAAATCCATAAAATAGCATGTGATGAGAGCTGGCACCGTGGAGTTACAACGGGTTTCCAATATGGCAAAGCTTGGGACCAGTGACTTCTATAAGAGTTCAAAATCTTTGGGTAAAAAAAATGAAGGACCCAAATGCACATCTGGTTCCTGGCCCAGAGCCACATCCCAGAGAATTGAAGCAAGTCAGGCCACCAGGCGACAGTTGGGTTCCTTGGCTATGCCATCACCTGGGCCAGCTCCCTTTTCCCTTCTGTGGCGATAACTTCCTTCTCCACTTGATAATCTGTCCTATTGCACAGATTCTCCTTGAGTTTGTTGAGCTCATACTCATGGAGGATTTGGATGGTCAGGAACTTCTCTCGTTTGATTCGGGCTTTCACTTCTGAGGGGACGTCAGGGATCATCCAGGCCACAAAGAATTTGACAATAAAAACAATGTGCTAGAAGAAGAATTAAAAGAATAAAAAAAGACAGAGACAGCACTTCAGCACAATCGTACAACTGGAGAACTTTAGAGGCCATCTTTCCAAATGGCCTTGTTTTCAAGGTGGCATACTAAGGCCTGGAGAAACCAAATGCCTTGCCAACAGAGCAAACAGCTGGAATTTGAATCTAAGATTCCAGGTTCTCGATCCAATGTTATTTCTAGTATACCACCTTCTGCCTTACTGGGATTTGTTTTGTTATTCCCATTAATGTTTTTACAAGAATTTTCCATATTCAAAGAGATTAAGCCCCCTAAGCACACCCAGCTACACACTCAGCAACCCAACCTACTAGCAACTAAAGCCAATATTCTTTTAAAAAAAAAAAAAAGGACTGCCTAAACAAAACTGAGCCAAGGAGGCTGGAATGGACATTTCACTCTAGAAGTTACATCAGCACCATAAGTGATTTACAAAATAACAGAAGAACCAGACAATTACAAGGTGGGTAGCAGAAATGCCAAAGAGTCACAGGAAGCTCAGAGTTGAAAGGAACCGTAAAGCCCTACCTCCATAGGGACTTCTTTAGGCCATTCCCAAAAGGTGGTCATTCTGGCCAGAACATTCCAGTTCATAGCCTAATTCGGTATCAATTAAAATGCCAAATGGATACTTTGTAAAAGTCAATTAAAATAATAAAATTTCCTTGAAAAAAATATCCAAGCAAAATTATCAAAAGAAAAGATGGGGGAAATGATAGGGGAGGAACTCATTATAGTTGATCTCAAAATATAGCATAAAAGTCCATTTTTTTTCCATTTTATTTATTTTTAAGTTAAGTTTTTTTCCTCTCTCATTACACTCAATTTAAAAGAAAAGAAAAACAAAATCTTCATAATATATAAACACATATACATATATACACACAAGTCTTACAAAACAAATTTCTCCATTGTCCTATGTCCAAAAAACTTAAATCTCATTTTGAAAATTGAATTAATCCTACCTTTGTCTCTGAGATTATGATGGGTCAGAGATCTTAAGTACAGTTCTATTTCTAGTGGAAAAGAATTGAAAACTAAGGGGAGGGGAGTGTCAGTCACTTAATAAGCATTTATTAAGCACCTACCATGTGCCAGGCACTATGCTAAGTGCTGGGGATCCAAAAAGAGGCAAAAGACAGTCCCTGCCCTCAAGGAGCTCACAATTTAATAGGGAGCTCGCAATATAATGACGGTACCCATCAAGTGAGAAAGACTGGACAAATCACTGTAGAAATGTATTAGAATACTGCTGTGCCACAAGAAATGACCAAAGGGATGGGTTGAGAAAGACATGTGTGAACTGATAAAAAGAAAGCAAGATGAGAAGAAAACAAATTACAGAACAATGATACTATTGGAAAAAATGAACAACTTTGAAAGACTCAAAAAAACCCCTCTGATCATTCCAGTGCCATCATGATTCCAGAGTACTGATAACGGAGAACATTGCCCACATCCTGCCAGAGAAGTGATAGGCTCACTATGCAGAATGAGACATACATTGTTGAACATGGCCAATGTGGAAATTGGTTTTACATGACTAGGCATATTGTTACAAGGGTTCTGCCATTTTTTTCCCCAGTGGAATGTGGAGAGGTATGAGGGAGTGAAATAATATTTGTTTATTGAAAAAAATTCCATTTACAGCTTTGAAAACTATAGTGAGCAGTCCTGGGAAGAAGTCTGAACTTCTACTGATTTGTGTATATTAGTGGCTGGCTTGCTACTTCCTTGAGGAACCACTGTTGAAATGATTTTGTTGTTTATTGTTCAGTAATTTTTGGGTTTTCTTGGCCAAGATACTGAAGTGGTTTGCCATTTCCTTCTCCAGCTCATTTTACAAATGAAAAATGAGGAAAACAGGGTGAAGCCCAGGGTCACATGGCTAATAAGTGTTTGAGGCCAGATCTGAATCTCAGGAAGCTGAATCTTCCTGGCTCCAGGCCCAGCATTCTATCCACTGTGCCACCTAGGTGCCCTTGGAGAAATGATAATCCACTAAATCCCATGCTTAGATGACTCATCGTCACTGGTGGCCATTTGTTTACTCAGTGTACCCCCAAACGTGGGGTACTCTGACTCAGGAGATCCCTTGGCTCGACCTGATTGCTCCTGAGACCCAAACCTTGTTGCTTCTGACACAAATCCAACAAGACTCACAGTCATGCCTTTTGTAGCCTGAGGTTTGGGTCACAGTCACATTCTAAGCTCCCCATTAAGATTCCTAAACCCGGCATCTTCCAGAAATAGGTCAGTTTGTCATGGAATCCTGTAGAGCCAAGTTTACTGATGTTTTCAATTTCTCTGACTGCTTAGCAGAGTTTGAAAACACCTGGGGGTGTGTGTGTGTATGTGTGTGTGTGTGTGTGTGTGTGTGTGTGTGTGTGTGTGAGAGAGAGAGAGAGAGAGAGAGAGAGAGAGAGAGAGAGAGAGAGAAAGAGAGAGAGAGAGAGACAGCGGAAGGAAGGAAGACAGAAAAAGAGTAAAGAGGTGGAGGCATTTAGGGTTAGGGTGAACGTTGGAGTCGTGTGTGTGTCTGTGTGTGTCTGTACGTGTGAAAGGGCCAGGGTAGGGGCAGCTAGATGGTGCAGTGGATAGAGCACCAGGCCTGGGGTCAGGAGGACATGAGTTCAAATCTGACCTCAGACACATGATACTCACTAGCTGTGTGACCCTGGGCAAGTCACTTAACCCCAACTGCCTCACCAAAACAAAAGAAAAAAGATGGGAGTGGGAAGAGAGATAGAAAAAGAGAGGAACAATAAGTAGAAGGGGGAATAGAAAATAGAAAGGCAGCATACGATCTGGCTGTTGGCAAGGACAGGAATAGGGCCAGACAGCCTAGGCAGAATGCTATCAGACTGCTACACCAACTGGTTTAAGGCACACTACTTTCTGGCTGGGTCTAATACATTATCTAGAAAATATAATTTGGAAAATTGTATCTAATTAATCCATTTGGGAAGGATGGAAAACTGATCAGTGAGGAATTATGCCCCTTCTCACTTTTGCTCAGGGCAGCCCAAGTTTGGAACAGACCAGTGGGGTCAGACTCAAATAGAAACAGGGGCCAGTAATCTATACATTAGAACCCCGGCAGGTCTCATATTGACTTAGTTTTAAAATACAATATTATCTATGTTTTACTTCATTTTTATTGATTTTGTTAAATATTTCTCAATTACATTTCAGTCTGTTTCAGGAAGCACTCAGGAATGTAGCGGGCTGCGGGCTGCGCATTGGACACGTCTGGGGCAGACACAAGAAATGTCAAGGGAGCAAATCCTCATTGACTCAGAGACCCCAGATTTCCAAGGCCAACTGAAAATTCTACCAAGTTATGGTTTTTGCTAAAAGAAGGAAAACACCCTCCTTTAGTGAAGACTTAAGTCCAAGTACAGTGCCTCTGTGGGTTAAGGAGGTAACCTAGTCTGTATCTTCCTCATACTGGGCCCAAAGTCGGCTTGCCTGTAATTGCCACCCGTGACATGACATAAAGAAGACAATCCCAACAAGAACGGCTGCTTCGAAATGAGAAGAGACTGCCTTATGAGGGAGTGAGAAAAGCTGGATGACTGTATTTCAGCAACATTGTACAGAGAAGATTCCTACGTTAAATAAGAAACTGCACTAGATGACACAGAATGCTTCTTCCAGCTCTGTGATGGTTTATGAAAGAACAGTGTGAGGACACACTAGTTTGCGTTTTTGTTCACTGACCCCCGAGCTCTCCTCCAATTCTGCGTAATTCTTTGACAGTCTCTCTCTCCCCTCAGCCTTTCTCCAGGCTTCGCCTCACTCCGCCCCATTCCTTTCCATTCCAACTAAGATATGATTTCTACACGCCTCCCCATCCTGGCTGTTCTCCTTTGGATACTATCAGGTTTGAGGGCCTTAGTGTCATTTTCCATCTTTCCTTCCTATGTCTCCTATTTAAATCCTAATTATCCTTCAAAGCCTAGCTAAGACCCACATCCATCATGAAGCCTTCCTTGTCTACTCCACAAAACCAGTTGGAGGTACCTTAGAGGTCATTTAGTCCAGCCCACACTTGATTAAGAATTCCCTCTACAACATGTCCAACTAGCCGTCATTCTACTTCCACACGAAGACTTCTAGTGATGGTGAACCCATTATCTCCCAAGACAACTCATTCCATTTGTAGACAGTTCTGTTATTAAAAGAATTTACAACTAAACTCGATCTACATCCCTATTACTTCTATCCAATGTTTCCATTCCTGTCCTTGGAGGCCAGTTAGAAGAAGTGTACCCCCTCCTCCCCACAATAACTCCTCAAATACTTCAGGACAACTATCATGTTTTCTTGAGGCAAAAACTAGGTGTTCCACTTCTGTATGCTGCATAACAATAAGCACCATGCAGGGATTAATAAATTCCTGTTGAATTAGAGACTTCCTAGCTAACTTTTTTATACCAATTACTTTCTTCAGCACAATTCCTGCTTCAGAAACACATAGAGAAATGCCAGTTATCTCATAAGCAGCAGCAGAAGATTGAATAGCAACATGATTGTAAGAGAAAGGCAACAAAAGGATGGGGTAGATCAAAAGGAAGACTTACTTCCATAATAATGATGAAGGCCATCTTGGCAGCAAGGATGTGCCAGAACTGCATAGTGTGTAAATACTTCTTTTCATGGTCAGGGGGATAGCGGTAATCTCTATACCTATATTGGGGAAAAAACATGGTCATGCATTGCAGGTTTTCCCATTTGTCAGGAAGTGGCAGATGGCATGCATATGGGAACATTTGTAGGAATTCATAGGATCTTAGATTTAAAGTTGGAAGGGATCTCAGAGGCCATCTCATCTAATTCTCTCATTTTATAAACTAGGAAACTTTTTAGGTCCCAAGCGATATAGTGACTTGCCTGAGGTCAAGCAAGGTCAAGTAAGTAAGCAGAGGCAGGTCTTGAAGTCTTGTCCTTGGAGTCCAAATATAATGACATTGTCACTGTATCACAATGCTTAACCATATTATAAAATACTTAGCATAGTGCCCAGGATGTAGTAGATGCTTAATAAATTCTTATTTCTCTCAGTTGTCCCATCTTAGATGAGAATGATTTTGTTGTTCAGTCATTTTTCAGTCATGTCCAATCCACTGTGACCTCAGTGTAAGTTTTCTTGGCAAAGATACTGGAGGGGTTAGCCATTTCCTTCTCCAGATCATTCTACAGATGAGGAAATCAAGGCAAACAAGGTTAAGTGATTTGCCCAGGGTCACAGAGCTAGGAAGCATCTGCGGCCAAATTTGAACTGACGAAGATGAGTCTTCCTGATTCCAAGCCCAGCACTCTATCCACTAATCCACTTAGCTGTCCTTAGCTGAGCACGATAATACCTCTATTTCCCACCTTACAGGTTTATCACGTGGCTCAAATGAGATAATGTATAGAAGGTGCTTTGCAATCTTAAAGCACTGTACCAATACCAGTTACTATTTTATGTGGTATAGTACATAGAGCACCAGCCATGGAATCAGGAAGTTATGTCTGGCCTCTGACAATCTCTTAATTTCTCACTGTCTCAGTCAACTCTTTAAGAACAGGAGCAAATCTGCTTCACTGTTGGGAATTTCCATGCCCATCCTGGGATGCCCCACCAGAAATTCTCTCACATAGATTAAATCACAAATCCAGACCAAAAATAAAAATCAGCACTGCCATTATCATCCGAGGCATCTTCATTATTATTAGTGAGCTTCCTTTTCTCATGATTCTTGACCTTCAGAAGAATCCCAGGCAGAGGTAAGATGAGATTTTGGCCCTCATTTTGTCCAACCTTGCCATCTGATAGAGAACAGTCTGAGCTTCACAGGGTCTATGATTATTCCAGGTACACACCCATTTAGTGGTTGCACAGCCAAAATTAGAACCCTTACTTTTGGACTCCCAGTCAAGGTCTCTTTCCACCCTACCCTATGGTCACTTAGGTTTCCTAAACTGGTCTGGGATACTGATGTTAGGAGAGACTCCTAACAAGTAGGAGGAATAAACCAGATACCTGCAAGTGGTGAATGTACCCAGGCTCGCCCCAGGTTCTACTGGAAAATCAGAGATCTTGAACACGGAAAGGCTGTTGTTAATGTATCCAGACATGGGGGAATTGTGGTCAGTTGAGTAGGCATAGTAGTAAACTAGCCGGGGAATCATGTCCGATGTGAAGGCGACGATAAAGGCCTGAAACCAGTGAAGAAAAACAAGTGAGTAGTCTAAGTACTGTTGTAAGCTTTTGATCTCATCAGCCATACAGATACCTTTCCAAACACAGTAAGAATGTGGTCAGAGAATATCTTACAGCTATAGCTATTTGAGAGTCATACCTTAGTTGGGGCCCAGGACATGATGTGTTTCATATCAAATGACATCCCTTGTTTATATTGTTCTGAGAAGTCAACCTTCCTTACTGTAAAATCTTTATCCCTTAACACCAGTGTTATGAAAGGGCCTACTGGGATTAGGTTTGGACATCTCTACTGATCACCCATGTTGGTTAGAGGTGGATGCAGTGCATGTTTCACAGGAATAGGCTGGAGGCCATGTTGTAGTGGATCTATTCCCCAGTGGTTGGACAAGGCCACATGGAAGAGTAGGAAGCCACATGGGAACACTCCTTCCACATTTCATCATGCTTAGGATGGAAGTAGATAGATGGGACAGTGAAGTGTTGGACCTGGGGTCAAGAGGACCTCAGTTCAAATACATTCTCATTAGCTGCTTGAATCTGGGAAAGTCCCTTAACATTTACCTGCCTCAGTATCCTCATCCGTACAATGAGGACAAAAATAAGACACTGATTGAATTGAAGAAGTTTGAATCAATCTCCCTCACCCCACACACCCCAAACACAGCCCCACAATATGAGGCAAGGCTGTCTCAAGGAAGGAAGTTGTAGTGCAGAGCTTGGATAGTTGGGGTTAACTTTGAGTTAAATGCACCAGATGCAAAATAGCATCACAGCCACCCATTCTATTCTTGAATAGCTCTCATTGTTATATTTTGCCTTAAGTGAAGCCTAAATCTGTAACTATAACTTCTATCACTTCCTCTTTTGAGTCTGAAAGAGACAAAAATTTAACTGATTCGGTGACAGGAGCTCCAGATACCACAGCTCTTCTCCTAGAGCACGCTGGAATACTAGGACCATGGATCTTCTAGGATGAGACACTGCTCTCAGCAGATCCAGAGGCAAGAATCAAATGCACAGAGTTGATTTTCTAAAGTCACATTCTCAGGAAACAAACTTCCCACCCCAAAAATCAATCACTCAGTTGAGAACAGTCAGCTTACATTAGTAACAACAGACAGAACAGCCATGCCATTGAGAATTTCTTGCCACACTCCTATGCTGTGGGCCTTGGCAGCCACAGGTCTCCTGTACTGGGTAGTCAGCTTCCAAGAGTCAACGCGGATTTCCAAAATGTTGTTCATAAGGGCAAGAAGAGGAGCCAAAGGAAAGGAGGCCACAAACAGTGTGATGAAGCCAAACTGGATAACTGCAGAGAAAGAAGAATCAGATGCACCAACTCCAGTCCACAAACACCTGTTAAGTAAAGCTGCAAAGACTACAGAGTACTCTCTGCTCTTTCAGAGTTTGCTGTCTCAAATTCTTATATTCTATTGGCTTGAGCTGCACTGGAGTGGACACTGGAAAGCCACTACTAGGTTGATCCCCAGAGTCTTTAAGTAACAACAGTTTGCTGCAAATCCGTTGGCAAGAAATACTATCTAATCACTGGTTATTTCCCTCCTCCCTACAAACACGCCCATGTCTCCCCTAACCAGAAAAAAAAAAATTCTCCCTCGATCCAGCCATCCCAGCTATCATGCCAGATTTCTTCTGCCTTCTGTGGCTACATCCCTGGAGGAGACCATCTACATTAGGTTCCTCTACTTGCTCTTCTCACCTCCACACTCTGGCTTCTAGCCTCATTAGCCAAGGGAAACTCCTCTCTCCAAAGTTAATTATAATCTCCTATTTGCCTCTTCTCAAACCTCATCCTTCTTGACCACTTGGTAACCTTAGACATTGGCAAGCTCCCTTTTTCTTGATACTCTCCCCTCTGTAGGTTCTCATGACATGTCTGTCCCATGATTCTTTTCCTATCTATCGGATGTCTCAGTCTCCTTTGCTCGATCTTCAGCTACATCACACCCACTAACCATGGGTGTCCCACAGGACTCTGTCTTGGACACTTTTCTCTCTATATACTATTTCACTTAGTCATCTCATTAGCTCCCATGAATTTAATTATCATCTCTATGCTTATCTGTATGATCTACTTATCTACCCCTAACCTCTTTGCTAACCTCTAGTCCCAAATCTCCAACCACCCAATGGACATCTTGAATCAGATGTCCTATAGGCATCTTAAACTTACCATGTCCAAAATTGAATTCAGTATTTTCTCCCAAACTTTACCCACCTTCTTCCAAACTTCCCCATGACTACTGAGGACACCACATCCCCCCCAATTCCCTAGGCTTGTAACCCAGATGTCATCCTTGACTCCTCACTCTCTCTTCACCCACCCCCCATATCCAAACTGTTGCCAAGGCTTGTCAGTTTTACCTGTGTGGTATCTCACATACACCCCCTTCTCTCCTCCAGTACTTTCACCGCTCTGGTAACAGATACTCATCTCCCCACACCAGGGTTATTGCAGTAACTTATCGGTTGGTCTGCCTGTCACAAGCATTTCCTTACTCCAATCCATCCTTCATTCAGCTGTCAAATTTATTTTTGTAGAGCACCAGGTACAATCATGTCACCCCTATCCTCAGTGGATCCCTAACATCTCCAGGATCAAATTTTTAAAATCCTGTTTTTTCTTCAAAGCCATTTACAACTTAGCTCCCCCCCCAACCCTTCCCATTTTTTTTTTTTGACACTGAATACCAACTCCACCAACTCTTTGATCCAGTGACGCTGGTCTCCTTACTGCTCCTCAAACAAGACATTCCATCTCCTGGCTCCAGGCATTTTCACTGGCTGTCTCCCATACCTGACACACTCTCCCTCTTCAGTCACTGCCTCCTGGCTTCCCTGGTTTCCTTCAAATCCCGGCTAAAATTCTACCTTCTAGAGGAAGCCTTTCCCAATCTCTCTTAATTCTAATGCCTTCTCTCAGTCGGTTGGCCATTTCCTATTTGTCACATATAAAGTATGTACACAGTCGTATGCATGTCGTCTTCCCCAACAGATTGTGAGCTCCTTGAGGGCAGGGACTGTCTTTTGCCTTTCTTCGTATCTCTAGCACTACAAGGCCATCTCCAGATCTGTATCTTGCTACTGAACCCAGATGGCTCCAGAGGAGAAAATCAGGCTGGTGACTTAAATGTAATTCACTTGTATGTCAAGGCATCACCTTCCTGATGTCACGGTCCTCTTTTAGAACCAAGGACAAACACTATCTCTAGCACTTAGCACAGCACTCGGCATAAATAAGTGTTTAATGTTTATTGACTCTCTGAATGGTGCAGTTCACAGAGAAAGTCAGAGCAGGAAGGGATCGTCAAGCTGAACCTCCTCATTTCAAACATGTGGAAACGGAGGCAGTGTTGCAGAGAGTGACTTGTACAGGTGGCAGAATTACTAGTACACCCAATGTCTGCTAACTGTCACTTCAGGGATAAAAAAATTACTTCCTTTCCTGTGCGATTATCTTCGATTATCCTATATAGATCTCGTTTTCACGTAGTCATTCCATATAATTTCCCCATCAGACCACAAGATCCTTGAGAATAAGGACTGCCTTTTTCTCTCTTTGTATCCTTAGCATTTGGCATAATGCCTGGCACACAGTAGGCACTCAGCAAATCCCAGCTGATTGATAAATATGCTAGTTGGCCGATAATACACCCAAAAGTGGTATATTCTGTAACTGACGATCCCCTTTGGCTCCCTCTGCTGGCAGGCTCTGAGAGCCAACAAATTCAACACAGCTCAATAGGCATGATTAAGTATGGTGGCACAGAGCTTCCTGTTACTTTCCAGTTTAGGGATTAATGGCTTTTAATATTTTTTTTTTGGCTACTGTTTCTTTAAACTATTAGACTTCATTCTTTAACCTATGCCATGTCACGAGTGAGTGACAAGCCCAATGCTTAGCAGAGTGCTAAGCACAAGAGTAGGTTCTTAAAAAACATTTGTTGATTGACCAACCACGACTGTTATCCATTAGTAATTGCTACCTTTCTCTCTGATGAATAGGTTCTTCAAGAAGGCAGCTAAGGAGAGCTTACCCATTTCTAAGTACTCGTAGAACAGCCCCAAGGCCCCAAAAGACTGAAGGGCGTGGTCCTGTTCCCATCGGCTGTACAGTTTCTCAGAGTTGGTCCTTGCTCTTCGGCGTCTCCACCAGTTCCAAACCCAACTGTGAGAAGAGGGGAAAAGGATGGGTTGAAATAAAACAAGAGGTGGAAGTAGTAATGGAATTTTGGAGCTTCAAGGTACAGTGTGTGTCATCTAGTCCAATAGCCTCTTTGGAAACTGATGGGGAAACTGAGGCGCAGGAAGTATAACTAACTTGCTCCACCATGATCAGCTTCATGCAATAGATAGAATGCTTTATATGGAGTCAAGAATACCTGGGTTCCTATGCTACCACTGACACACACCAGTTGTGTGATCATGGGTGATTCTCCACCTTCTGAGCACCAGTTTCTTCATTAGTAAAATGAGAATAATAACTTGTAAAATAACCCACCTCAAAAGGTTATTGTGACGTTCAAATGAGATCATGCTTCTAAAGCACTTTTCAAACTTCACATTTCTACAGAAGAATCAGTTACTAGTTCTAGTAGTAGCCAGCAGGAGAATTAGGGATAGAACTCAGTTCTTTTCTAACTTCCACTATGTCACCTTGACAGTAGATTTCCCGTGGAGTGACTCAGGGACCATAGTTGGTTCTGAGTTGTTTAATGTTTTGATCCCTGACTTGGACAAAGGAACGGATGCAAATTAGCAGATTTTCAGGGGACATACATCTGGAAGGACAGTTAATGTACTGGATGACATAGTCAAGATCCAAAAAGATCTTGACAGTCCATAGCACTAGGTTGAATCAAATACGCTGAACTTCATTAGTGATAACCGTAACATCATACTTGGAATTCCAAAAAATCCATTTTCCAAGTACAAACAGAGACAGATGGTTAGATGGCTCTCTGCATGAAAAATCTTTTGGAGTTTTAATGGACTGCAAGCTCAGTATGAATCGACAGCCTGAGGTAGCAGCCAAAACTGATGAATCCAATCTTAGACTATATTAAGAGTCATAGCTTGCAAAAATGAAGAGGTCCTGTGGCACCTTGGCCCAGTAAGATGAATTTGGGACATTATATTGTGTTTGGGGTGCCACCATTTAGGATGGAGACTAAAAAAGCATCCAGAAATGGCAACCAGATTGGTGGAAGGCTTTAAGTCCATTTCTTTCTTTCTATTTTTTTTTTGGGGGGGAAGCAATTGGGTTTAAGTGACTTACCCAGGGTTATACAGCTAGTAAGTGTCTGAGACTGAATTTGAACTCAGGTCCTCCTGACTTCAGTGCCAGTGTTCTATCCACTACGCTACCTAGCTTCCCCAAGACCATTTCCAATGAAAGATTGATGTGACAAAGGACCAAACGGGACACGACGGATGCATTCTAGTCCTGTTTTCAGAGGCTGCCACATGGAAAAGGGACTAAACTTGTTTCATTTGGCTAAAGAAGTCAAAACCAGGAGCAAAGGGTAGAAGTGAAGAAGAGGGAAATTTAGACTTGATGATAGCAAAATCTTCCTAATAACTAGAGCTATCTAAAAGTGGAACAGGTTTCCTCAGCAGATTGTGGGTTACCCCTTCAATGGACTACTTCACTTATAGTGGGCATCGCCTTTCAGGTATATGAAAGGCCTTTCGAAGCCCAAGTCCCTGTTTTATTATCCTCCCACCTTCAATTTATGTGCTGAGGTTCCTTGCATTGGGATGGGCCCAAGAGAAAGGGCAGCTAGGTAAGCAGTAGATAGAGTAGAGTCAAGAAGACTCATCTTCCCGAGTTCAAATCTGGCCTCAGACACTTACTAGCCATGTGGCCCTGGGCAGGTCACTTAACCCTGTTTGTCTCTGTTTCCTCATCCGTAAAATGGCTGGAGAAGGAAATGGCGAACCACTCCAGTATCTTTGCCAAGAAATCTTCGAATCAGGTCACAAAGAGTTGGACACAAATGAAATGACTAAACAATAACAAGAGAGAGGAACGTGCCAGATGAGAAGACAAGAGATTACGGGTTTTTAAAGAAATTTTATGTGTGTGTGTGTGTGTGTGTGTGTGTGTACACACATATATGGCGTTTATATATATTATTTATATGTTTTATATCTACCTCTTTTGCTTTACAGTTTGCCTCCATTATGGCACAACAGCTCTAGGAGGGAGATACTATTATGCTAATTTTATAGAGGGGGAAATCTGAGACTCAGAGAGATAAACTTTTCCCAGGGCCACCTAACTACTCGGTGGCACAGGTGGGATTCAAGCTCTCATCTTCCACCTCCAAGCTCTTGGTATAACCCACTTTACCAATGTTAACATCAGCTATCAACATTATAACATAAAAAGGATTTCTTCTTTTCTCATCTAATTCTTAGCTGTGAATAAAATGCAACATTTCCTTCCTTGGGTTTAAGTGACCCCCTTCACATCACTTCTGCTACACTTCCTGGTTAAAAAAGGGTAGATGTCTTTGCAAAGACACTGGAGACAATGGTTTTCCAATCCAAGCTGCCCTCATGTAGCAGAGATTAGCAGCATTTCTCTTGCTCAGTGGGCTCTCCTAATAAGAGGCAATGAAGCCCTCTTTTCTCCCACACCAGTCAGGCTAATAGTGGTATACCTGGCCAACCCTGTGTTACGGTACTGCATCAGGGACTATTTGGTTTACAGACAAGGCTTTTACTGGTTCAAACCTCTGTTGCAGAAGCAAGACTGCTCTCATCCTCAAGGGAACCTCCATGTTTTGACCCTCTAAATGAATCAGGGAGCTCTCCTTATGACCTTAAAGCTCTGTGTAAAAGTCATATGGTTATTCTTAGATGGGGAACTCCAAAGTAACACATACGGTAGAATGGCTTCCTGGATGTTGCCCCAGATCTGCTTTCCAGCCATGATGATGGTGAGCTGTGTTGTCAGCTCGATGAGGCAGCCTGCTGGATCACACTGGACAGAAGCAAAAGAGAGAAGGGACAAAGGAACAATGAGAGGTACAGGATTTCTAATCTTTCCCCTCAAGAGTAGAAAAGAAACAAAAGCCCCCACCAAATTATCTGAACACCAACCAACCATGAACAATATAACCTGCCATTTGAAGGGCTAGGGAGGGTTGGGGGAAGCCTGTCAAATGTCTTCTAAGACACGACTAGCCATTATAATTCAATAAAGATTAATAAATACCTATTGTGTCTAAGACATTGTGCTGGGGACATTTGAAAAATGACATAATCCCTACCTTCAAAGAACTTATGTTGTACCAAGGAAGCTACATCATGCATGGAAAAAGACAAAATGGGGACCCAGACAAAGTACCCTAGGAAAACTTAAGGAGACAGGAGTTATGTAAGCTCTCAGAGGGCAAGGAGTCTACCACAGTGCTGATCACGTATTAGGCACTCAGTATGACATCACCTTCCTGATGTCATGGTCCTCTTCAAGAATGAAGGACAAACAACAATAACTCAGTAAAATACTGAAAAAAGGCTCAAAGGGGACCTTTCCCTGAAGAGAAGTCCTACCTCTTCATTCCTCCATTTGTTGAACATGTATGTGTAGGCTCCTGGGTAGCCCACAAACTTCCCTTTAAAGAATGCCACATAAAAACATGACGAATAATAGTTGACAAATTGAAACAGGAACATTTTCATCGTCAGCCTGTTCTCATACTCCAGGTGGGTTCGAGGAATTTCTGAAGGGTCAAAAATGTAGAATGTTAATGCTGAAGACTATATTATCTCTCCCTGAGAACCATTACTCACCTGGGTAACTGGACACATGGCGATGCCTAAGATAGAACCAATCTGCATGGTACAATAGAATGAATATTGCTTCTGGAGTCAAAGGACCCAGATTCAGATCTTGCCTGTGACCCCTACAACCTATATGACTTTAAGTAAGTCCACCGTGGAGGATCCCCCATGGATAACTTCCATGCATCTCAAGTTTCCTCATCCATAAAGTGAGGAAATCAGATTAGATTGTCTCTGAGGTCCCTTCTAACTCTCCACCTATGCTCTTCTAACATTAGGTCTTTACTCTCCCCTGTAAAGTGTAAAGTGTAAAGCATTTACTTATTAGCTGAGATCTGTTACTTCAGTCTCTTATTTTTTTAGCATGTACACTTGTTGGTTTAGAGTTCACAACACAAGCTCCTTGGACGAGAAGGAGGGAAAAAAGAAATGATTTCTCCTTCTATGGAACCCTTCTATTAGGGTCTTCTCAATACAATATTTTGTTTATGAATGAGTGACCTTATACTTGGAAAAGTTGTACAGCTTAAAGTTTTGCATCAAACTTATCCACCAAGGCCAACGCTGTCCAACCTTGTAAGAGCAACCTGGAGAAATCCCTAGAATTCTAGCTTCTATTAAACAGTTTCCAATAGAAGAAGTCCATCAGTGTAAAAGAGAAAGAAAGACCATTGCTACTCTTGACCTTCCTCTTTTGAGAATTTCCAGATTTGTTTATCTACGGAATAATCTAGTCCATACAACAGAGCTCTCTGCTTTCTCTCTTCACAAGATGGCATTAGTAAGATAAGTCATTAGAAAAGAAGGTAGAAGTTTTTCCAAAAGGATGTCTTTCCTATAAAGACAGCAGAAGCAGATGGCTTCTAAGGTACTTGCTAGCCCTCTACTCCTGATCCTATGATTCCTAAGGTCCCTTCCAGATTCAAGTTCTTCTATGCCCAGGGTTCTTAAACCTTTTTGTGTTACAGGCCACTTTAGCAGGCTGATGGACCATGGACTCCTCCTCCTCAGCAGAGTTTTTATTAATGCACAAAATAATATATACAAGGTTACAAAATAAACCAATTATATTTATATGTATCTGTCAAAAATTTTAAAAAGCACAATTTCACAACTTCCAGGTTGAGAACCCTGCTGTATGCACGACTTGGTGCTTCTCTTCCTGCCTGCTGGGTGCTCTCTCCTTTTTAGAGGCTGCTAGATTTCATAAATGTCAAAGGGTGCCTCATCGTACTGTTTTCCCCCTTTACTATAGATGCATACATACATACACGCAGATGTATGTGTGTATATAAAATGGAAATTCATGCTCTGGAATAAAACCAGCGCAATGAACAACCATTTCCAATGAAAATATCTCAAAGCTAAGAAATGTTAAATTCTCTTCTCACCACAAGAGGGCAACAAAGATACAGTGAAGTAGTGGTGACAGTTCCATCACTTCCCTCTTGCAGAAATTAATTCTGTGGGGTCAATGTCTTTTCACAGACTCTAAATTAGTGCTTCACATTAACATAAAGGCATATACAATAATGTGCTCTGGTGGGGATCCTCCTGATTTTACTGCAATTTAACTGCATTTCAATTAGAAGATGACAAAATGAATTTATTTAAGTACATCTCATTTAAACAAGCTGCGTGTACTGGCTGATTATTGTTGTTTTCTTAAAAGTAGTTGAATTGCTCTGATTGCCCTTTTATTGGATGGTAGAGCACGAGAGCTGGAATAAGAAAATAAAGCCCTTCCCGTTGACAGAACAGGGGAACAGAAGAGATCTGACTGGGGACTCTTGCGACTTCATTGGGTTGGAGCTGCTACACCCCCAAGTGTGCAACAAATAAGCCATCCTTTACTTAACCTCAGAGAGTCCTGGAGGAGATGGCCTGAGGGGAGGAGTAGTATGGGCAGAGATCATGGTTTAGAGCTGAAAGGGACTTCAAAGGTCACATGACCCAGTCCAAACCCCTCACTTTAGCGATGAGACAACAGCCCCAGGAGGTGGAAGTGACTTACCCTAAGCTACAGTTAGTAAAGTGGTAAAGCTGAGATTGGAATTCAGCAGTCCAAAGTGGGTAACCTAGAACCTTAGTTTCTTTTTGACTCATTTGTCAAATAAGGAAGACCGTGACTTTGGCTTAGAAGGACGGCATGGACTACAGGATTGCCATTCTGGACTTAGTATTGAGAGTTAAGACCTTGCAAAGGAAAGAGGGGTGGAACTGCTCTAGACTTTCCGACTGGCCAAGGGAGAAGGCATGAGAGCTGCCATAGTCAGCTAGGTAGCAAAGCAGGTACAGCGCAGGGCCTCAAATCAATAAGACCCGAGTTCAAATGTGGCCTCAGATGCTTACTAGCTGGGTGACTGTGGGGAAGTCAACTTACCCTCTGCCTGCCTTAACTATAAAACGGGGATAACATTAGCACCTAATTCCCAGGGCTATTGTGGGGATCAAATGAGATAATATTTGTAAAGAGTTTAAGGGTGCCCAGTCCTTAGTAGGTTCTTAATAAATGCTTAAATCTTTTCCCTTTTCTCCATCCCCCATTATTTAGGAGAGTTAAGATTTTCCTCTTGTAGTTTCTTCTACTTTCAGGCTCAAAGGCCTTCTAAGGAACTTCACTAAATGTAGTACCACGCTCCTCCCTCTCTTCTTCTAAAGAGACAAACAAAATCACAAAGTTCTTATGGGAGAACAATACGATTTACTTAACCTTCGTCCAGTTTTTCATTAGAGACTAAGATGAATTGAGTCAATAAAGCAGCAGGTTTACAGAAGATTTACTTGGCTCTGTCTCCTTTCTGCCCTTTGTCCTCCTTTCTGTGGAATCCTTGTAGGGAACTGCTTCTCTGGGCGAACGTTGTCTCTGATGTCCAGGCTATAGGATGAGTCCACAAATGAACCAGCCCCCATGTGAGGGGTTTCACAACTAAGCTTGGGCATGGGTACAAGCTGGATCCCAGATGTTTAGTCTGAGAGATGGAAACGGCCGCTTAGGCCGACTCTTGCCCTGATCAGATAGTTAACAACAGTGAAATGATTTGTCCCATGTCTCACATGTGGTTTCAGTGGAGGAGTCAGGCCTCTCAGTGCTGGCACTCAGACTAGTGCTCTTCCCCCTTCTGTGTTTGGCCTCAGCCTTATGCCAAATGAAGACACTTCTTTGTTATTCTCCTATATGGGAAAGAAGGGGAGGAGGGCAACTGGAATGGCCAGGATCTCCATGGGTAAATATGGGTGCCATCAATCAATTAAGCATGCCAAATGTTTGCTGAAAGACACTTTGGAACACACGGAGAGTTAAATTCCATTAAAAATCAAAGAGTTTCTGCTAACATTTTACCTTTAAGTTATTAGTTTAAATTTAAGGAATCTCTTAAAACAGCAAAGGATGAGAAACACAGAAAGGTTAAATTTCTGTACTACTAGAGGAAATACTCACACCGAGGAGATTAGGGATCCACTGAAGTACTAAAATAGAATCCTTTCTTTCCTTTCGGCTTTCTACCTTTTTGAAACTAGACTATACGAGCAGCCAATTTCCTTCAGTCACTGACCATACCATGACATCATCACCAGGTTATCATGACATCATCGCCATGCCAGCCACTCAAACCAGTGTGGGGCTTTACCTCCACATACCCATCTCAACTCAGAATGTCTTCACATTTAAAAATTAATATCCAGTTGATCTAAGTCAGTTGTCTCTTTGGCCTGCCTCATTTTCCCTTTTTGTAATATGAAGGGCTTGGGATATTCAGTGGAGTCCAAAATCCTTTCTGATTCCTAATAGTTGATTCATTAATTTTCATGTCAGTTTCCCAAGACTCAAATGAACAACAGAACAAAAAAATAACAACTCAGACTTAGAAGACCTTAAAGATGAGAGTCCAATCAGGATTAATCAGGCAGAATGGCAAAATGGATAGCTGGTGGTCTTCAACTTTGGAAAACTGGGGTTCCAATTGCACCTCTGATGTTTATTAGATGTGGGACCCTAGGAAAGTCATTTAACCTCCCACTAAGCCTCAGTTTCCTTTTCTGTAAAATGAAGGAGTTTTACTCAGTGATATTTAAAGTTCCTTGCAAGGTTCCTTTAAGTCTATGTTCTAATGTTCATGGATTTTTAGGTTGAAAAATCATGTCATTTGGTTGTAATGGAAAATTGTGATGATTTAAGACATGACGTACTTGGAGATATCAAGAGAAATACAGGAGAGGAAAGAAAGAATAACCAAAGGACAAATCTATAAATGGGCATAATCATGTAAATAAAAATAAATTAGAAGACATCAGAACTCAGATTAATGCAATGCTCATTCTTAATTCTAAGAAGACTGATGACTCCTCCTCATTCCTTCTTCATAGTAAGGAGATGGAGGGCTATAATGCAGAATGCTGAATTTCTTGGCAGACATGGCTACATGGCCACTACTTTGGGTAAACTGGCTTCTCTATTGTGCTTTATTAAAATGGAAATGACTTATGGATTGGGTGGGAGGAGGATACTGGAAAGCGGTTGATATAAAATACAAAGAGCATAAATCTTTTTTTGCTCAATCTCAAGTAACTGAGATCTGGGGCAGCTAGGTGGCACAGTGGATAGAGCACTGGCCCTGAAGTCAGGAGGATCTGAGTTCAAACCCTGCCTCAGACTAAACACTTGACACTTACTAGCTGTGTGAACCTGGGCAAGTCACTTAACCTCAATTGCCTATAAATAAATAAATGAATAAATAAATAAATGAATGAATGAATGAATGAATGAATGAATGAATAAAGTAATTGAGATCCAAGTTTGGTGAATTAAACAGGTGATCAATCTGGATCACACACACAGACACACAGACACACACACACACACACATTTTCTTTTATGTGTGGCCTGTGAACTAGCTGTGAAGGCAAGTCCTTCAATGGGCCCCAATGACATTTTGGTCAATATAACCTCCCAAGATACAATTAGTAATTACTTACTCATTTGGATAAACACTTTGGTGTTAAGATTTTTAAATAATGCTTCAGTGACCCTAAAGCCACACCTTATTTTGGGGTACAGTACATTTAACTGCCTCATCTTGGCTTTCAAGGTCTAATGTTTATCAAACCATGACTCTAGAGCTGCAAAGGTCCTCAGAGAACATCTGGTACAACTTCCTCATTTTACAGCTGAGGAAAACAAGGCTCAGGGAGGTGAGGCAATTTGCCCGATGATGCACAGGATGTTAGGAATCAGAGGCAGCATGTGAATCCAGGTCATTCAATTCCAGAGCCAGGTTTTTTTTTCCCCCCACTCCACGTTGCAGGGCGCCACTAGCAGTTGCACTTACGGATTTTCCCCAGTGATCGTGGCAGCTTACCCATATCCGTGATCCAGATGGCTATCCTCTCGTACAAGAAATTCAGGATCATGATGATGACAAAGTTCAAACAGGATGCAGTGACCGATGTGGCCAGCTGGGGCGTGAGCAGGCTGCTGATGGGCTGGAGGGTTTCTGTGTCTTCCATCAAGCTTGCAAATGCCGCGTAGACAGACAGGCGGTACACAATCACTGCTATCATACTGGCTATGATCAGAGAGATCTATGTGGAGGGCAAGTATTGAGAGGTTATGATTTCAGGCCTTGGAGCTAAACACCCAATCTGGGCAGGGACCCCCCACCGCCCGACCTGTGTAACACACTGGTCATTTCTCATTTTAATCAGCCAATTTAGTAAGCCTGACATGCAAAGGGCACCAAACCTATCTCCCCTCCTACTGACAGGGCCTCAACATTAAGAAGACATCAGGTATACCGGCACTACTGCATTTAGCAAAATTCCAGTGGAAAATGTTTTCAAGTCTCCCGAAGATCTAGGGCAAAGTAGGGGCTGCTGTGAAGATCATGTTTGTTTGAGTCCTTTTTGGGCCAATTCAGTGAGTTCATCAGTGTAGGGAATTCTCAGTGTGGATGCTCCTTCCTGAGCTAGCTGCAGATAAATCATTCTATTGACAACCTTTATGTAACTTACACAGTGCATGAAACAGTAGGAGCTGATGTGACTTGGTCCAGGATCACAGAGCCAGTTTGTTGTCATGTGCAGATCTTGAACTCAAGACTTCTTGAGCCCAGGCCTTCTATCCATTCTGGAAATAACAGCTATAGAAGTGTCTCTCTTTCTAATCTTTCCTTCCACTATGAGGCAGCTTATTATCTGCAGTGGTGTAAGATGGAAGAGGCCGCTTGCTAGGAAAGGTATCATGTGTGTTCAGGGTGCCCCATTCTGTGGCTTGCATCAATTAACTTAAAATGTAACAATAAATTTTTGGGGGGAGGGACAGACTTTGCTCCTATGATCAAAATATCTGCGATATGACTATTCTACCCAAATTTGCCTAAAATAGGGGTTCCAAGATCTGATTAGATAAGAATTGGAACTGGGAAACAGAACAACAATGGTGGAACTTATATCCTCCCAAAGGAAAGTCCTGTTGTCCTATGGTACAGACCATGGCTGGTAATAGCTTTGGAAGGGAATGGTCCATATTACCAATCCAATGGGAAAGGAAAGCCAGCAACTGAAAGAAACAGTGCTAAATGTCACAGGGTAGGGACTTACCATGACAGGTCAAACGGAACCAGTTATTAGGAAGTGATTTGTTTGTTGTTATCATTTAGGCCTGTGATTTCCTCCATGAAGAAAGTCCCCAGTGAGGAAACTCACTCTACCAATGCACAGCAGCTTCAGCTCTTCAACTTAGAATCTTAGCGAGGTCTTCAGGGCTGATAAGTGACTGCCCAGTAGCACTCAGCTACGATGTATGATGAGGCAGGATTTGAACTCATGTCTTTTGGATTCCAAAGTTACTCCTCTATCCATTATACCACTTTGTCTCTATCTCTTAATACTCTTTGAATTTACAAAAGTGTCTATCAAAAAGGCTGTTCCTCCTCCCTTCCTTAAATTAGGAGCCAGTTGGAAGGGGAAATATATTAGGGGAGGGTGGAACAGGGAAAGTGGCACTATGATCAGAAGGATTAAATGTTCTTATCGGCTATTGTCTCTTATGGGCAGTGTTAATTCCCATCCTTTGACAGTAGGTGGAGTAGAGACCATATCACATAACAGATAGCACGCTGGTTATAAAGGCAGAGCTGCATTTAAAGGTAGCCTCTGACATACACTGGCTGTGAGGTCCTGGGTAAGTCACTAAATCTCTATGTGCCTTAAGTAATGCCCAAGGATGTGTGTTCTAAGTCAGAGAAGGATTGTGATCTGTGTCAGTGGAGTTAGTTTCTCCAGTGGGAGGTTCCATGCTGATAAAAATCATGATTCTTTTATGTGTGGGTGACAATTTATCTTCCCTTCCATGGCTATCCCAGCAATAGCTCAAATGAAAAAGACAGGCAGGATTTTGGGGTGGTTGTTTTTCCCTTAGGGGCAGGAGATGTGGGAGAAGACTTCATTTCTCAAAAATAAAACAAAACAAAACAAAACTAAAAAATTATGGGCAGCTCTAGGCGGAAATTGATAAGCTTTTTCAGTTTAAAATATTCTCTGTTTATCCTGAGTAGGAGAGGAGAGAACAAAATTCACTGCTCACATGGGAAGAAGACTAGGTAATAGAAGCCATCTCCTTTTCTCCTAGTGCTTCCCCTGTAACAGTTTTGACTCTAATTCTGGTGCGCTTTGCATGAGAGGCTAAAACCAGGAAGCACGCAGGGAAACCCTGGGCGCCAGAGCCCACAAGGAATCCCATCAGGGAGAGCAAGCCTCAGGACAAACCTCAAACAATTTGTGGTTAAAGGGATGAGGAGTCAAAGAAATGCTCACCCAGAACAACACGGTAGCTCCTGAGAAACAGAACCGCAGCGCCTGACTAGTTAGGGGCAAGTAAGGCTCCATCTCCTGTAACAAGCCAGCAAAGCATAGCGAGATTCAAAATCCACACTCCAAACCGGTTGAACACCAAGCAGCCGTCAGAGCCCCGAGAGCTGTGGGAGAGCAGGCATCCCCCGGGCGAGCCCGTCACCAGCCATGGAAAGTCAATGCCAGGGGTAGGCCAGGGTCAGGTCATAGGACCACCATGGGTTGAGCTCAGCATGCTGAACCACCTGCTATTGTGGGAACACAGTGCCAAACTGCAGGTTGGCAGGGCACATGTGGGCACCCTAGGAGGAGTGCCAAGGCTAGACTGAGCATGCTCTAAAGTTCATAGGGAAACAGGATCATAAATGAAGGCCTGGAAGGTACATTAAAGGGAATCTAGTCCAATTCCCTTATTTTGCAAATTTTGAGTTCTACCCTTGAGCAACTTCCCCAAGGTCACACAGGTAACACGTGAAAGAGAGGGAAGATGTGAACCCAAGCCCCTTGACCCCAAATCCAACACTCTTTCTGTGTATCACTGAGACTGGCATTGCTTTGCATGAGGTGCAGCGTGGAATCTTTCTTCCACCTGCGTCTATCTGGATGCATCCCATTCTTCCACACCATCTCCAAGCCTGACCACCACCACTGCCAGACCTCTTCATGTACTGTGTTAGTTGGGTTAGTCCAAGTTCCCAGCTGCAAAAGGAAGCAGCTAAGTCTTACCCAAAAGAGGATTGCCATCCAGCAGAGGAATAGTTTCCCATAGAAATCTAAAGTCCACTTTCTTTCAAGTTCTAGTTCCTAAAATGTCAGATTAGATGGTTTTAAAAGGGGCTGGGGTGACAGCCCAATGGGGAAAAAGAATGGAAGAGAATACACAGAGCTGGACATCTAAGATGGCAAGCCCTGCAAACCCCAAGCTTCTTTAGATGGCACCTCGGCCTCCCTCTCTACAATGTTGACGTCACGCTTGCTGATCGTGGACGCGGTGGTCGTGTTTGACAAGCCAATTCTTATCACCCTTTGGCTATCTGCTGTCCAGTAGGAGAACGTGGACAAACCACAAGACAGCAATTCTTACTCACAAGGTAGTAGAATGGTCACTGTTTGGCACCTGGCTTACTACATACCACTTTATCTGTTAATAATTGTTAGCAGGGTTAATGGTGACTAGGTTTCTTTTCTTTTTTCTTTATCATGGAGTTGTAAGCAACAGACATCAGAAATTATACAACTTTTGAACCCCATGTTCAATGTGAGAGCCATTAAAATTACTCAATCCAAAGGTGCTTACAGGATATACATACATACATACATACATACATATATATATATATACATATATATATGGTTTTTCTTTTTTACAGAATCTCTCTAATTATCTTCCACTATATACTGGCAGAAGACTGGTACTATAATTTCAACTTCAACCCAGAGCCTTCTCTAATTCAGCACATAGACGAAAAGGTCTTACTGAAGTCCTGGCTAATTGCCTCTAACTGGATATGTCAGGATGATCCCTCTGTAGAACAAAAAACAGTGCAACCATTATAGCTTCTGGACGGGCAGACGTGGCACCAACAACGATTACTAGTACTGGGAATAGAACTTTAGGAGGGCAGTCGATGGAGACATTTGCAAGACATTTGCATTAGAGCAACAATAGAGAAGTATTGATTCACTCAACGACATAGGTTGGCTTTTTCCACTCCGTGGCACTAAGCTTATCAAAACCACTGGATTTTCGCATGTTCAGGACAACATTTGTATTCTGAAGAATGAAAATGAAAATGTTCTCAATCTTATTTAAGGTCAAGCTCCAGGGGACTGGTCATGGCAAATATCTTCAGAAGGAAAGCCATCACCAAACCACCTATGCAAAAAACCAGCAGGTTCTTTCCTAAAGCCCTGGACTAGTAGTGAGATCATCTACTGACAAACTTTAGTTCACCGGATGGGGTGGGAAAGGAGAGAGAACTTGGGGTGAAGGATCTAGTCTCATCTGACTTCTCCTTGGGTCTTGCCACTGGTCTGTCGGGCCTGAGATACAGAGAATGTCACATACGCAGCATCATTTGAAGGCTGGGGTATTATAAACCAATCCTGTGAACCCTGCCTCTGCCATTTGCTATCTATGGGATCTCACTTCTCTACTAGCCTCATCTTCCTTATCTATAAAATGGGAGCAGTGGAAGAAATCTGAAAAGGGACCTAGTTGGCTCTATCACTCCATGTTTCTACTTGTGCCTTCCTAATGACTTTAAACATCTTAATAGAAAAGAGTCATGTGCCATTGTTTCCCTCAGGCTTTGTTCCCTACCTATGGCAATCCCTTCTAGTTTGGTGCTCCCCAAAATCACTAAACTGACTTCCTTAAGTATTTTGACCAGATATGAAAAGGACATCAAAGGCTGTGAATCGGGTAGATTGTGGGAACAAGAAAGTCCATAGGAATTAGGCTCATTTCAAGCCTGTCTTAATGGACACCAAAGCATTTGTGGTTAAAAGGGAAGCCGAGAGTCCGAGATGGTCACCCACAATAATGCTGCAAAGAACATCAGCCCAAAGTCCTCCTTGGGCAAGTCATAACCTTCAAGGGCCTCAATGCTGCCTATCTTTACAATGAGGAGATTGGATTACATTAGTAGTTCTTAATCTGGGACTGATACACTTGGCTTTAAAAATATTTTCATATGTGTGTTTCAATATAATCAGTTTCTTTTGTAATCCTTACATATTTATGTTATGCCTTTAAAAATATTATTCTGATGAGCATCTGTAAGCTTTTCTAGACTGCTGAAGAAGTCCATGACCATAGAAAATGGGGAAGAACCAGTGGACTAGATAGTCCCTATGGTCATTTCCAGCCCATCATTCTATGATTCTATATTTGAAACTTTCTTGACAGTTATCACTTAGGTCCTGGACCACAAATGTAGAGAGAGACCAAAAATATGAACAACTATGCTTAAGGCCGCCCATTTTAAAAGGGCAGTAGGAACGGAACTAAGAAGTAACGACCATGATGTGGCACCACAGATGCTACTTCATTGTAGAGAACCAGAGGGAAAAAAAAGGCCAAATCTCAATTTAGTTTGATAACCTGAAGGGCTGTAGTACTTCCTTATTGTCTCTCTTCTTTGTTACTGTGTTAACAGGGAAACACCACCTCTCTTCTTGTTCTTTTATTAATATAAGGAAGTAGGTTGTTGGGTCTTATAAAAATGTCTATTACTATTATTATCATTATTGTTATTATTGTTATTACTATTATTATTATTATCATTATTTTATAAAAGTTTTCTGGTGGCTGGAAGCAATTTGTATTATTCATGGTTTTAGCTTTTTGCCACTACAGTTGAGGCTGAAAGGCAGGGCTCTGTAATGAACCAGGCTCAAAACAGAAAATGTTTTCCTATTTCAGGGGGCCAGGGGCTCCATTATCTTCCTTATCAGCTTGGTCTCACATCTCCTTAGCAGCGCTGATAGAACACAAGTTACATGGATGGCTTCATCCTTGCTACTGAGTTTCCTTAGAATTACTTGCCACTTCCATACAAAGGGCTTGACAATTTGTTTATTTACTCATTTTCATATCTAGGAAAATCCCTTGGGGCTCTAAAGATCTACATGGTAGGGGAGTGTACCCTCTGAAATATGTCATGTCCCAGGCTGGTAACCTGAGAATAATGGTAAAAGCAATGTTCGTTAATTCACAGTCTTTGGGACCAGCACGGTAAAGTGGAAAGGTCATTGTAGTTGGAGCCAAAAGATTTGGCTGCCTCAACTACACTTACTGCCCTTGTAACCTTGGACAATTCAATTCATCTTTCTGGACTCTGGTTTCTTCTCCTGTAGAATAAGGGGAATGGGCTAAATAAAGCTGAGAATTTCTACCAGTTCTAAAGGCTAGGATCTGCCATAGGCTTTTTTAAAAAACCCACTGAAAAAAGTAAAGCACTAACAGAGGCACTCCACCCAGGCCATCTGAAGTGAGTCAGTATGCACTGATCTAGCATGAATCAATAACTTCATTTGGCTTTTTAGAAAAAAATTATTTTGGAGCCACCATTCAGACTTAGTGACTGGCCAGGGCCGGTGAGCCCTCAAGTTCCGAAATGGATTTAGTCAGTGGTACCTACTTGTTCACAAGCCAACCTCTTACCAATGCCTGCACAGGGGTGCCAGATTATTATAAATTTAATCTTCCAGACAATTTTTTACATTGTGGTGTCAATCCAAATGCACACCACAATGGTGGAAGGTGCTCTCTTATTTTTATCCAGATATATATTTTTTTCATTGTGTTTCACTGGCCTTGGGATTTCCCCCTATGAAAACTCCCAGTCAATAATGTTCTAATACAGTTTGGCAACTCTCTTATAATAAAAGTCTTAAAGAGTTGTATGGGGGGGCAAGGATGATGATGAAGATGATGACGATGTGTAAGACACTGTGCTAAGCAATTTATAATTATGTCATTTGAGTCTCATGACAATCCTAGGAGGTAGATGCTCTCACTATTGCCATTTTACAGGTGAGGAAACTGAGGTAAACAGAGGCTAAGTGACTTGCCCAGGGTGAGGCAGCTAGTAAGCTTCTGAGGCTGGATTTGAACACAGGTCTTCCTGACTCCAGGCCCAGAGCTCTATCCACTGTGCCATCTAGTTGCTCTCAGCCGCACTGAAAGGATAAATGTCTTGCACGGGGTCAGAAGGTCAGTATCTATCAGATGCAAGATGTGAATCTGAATCTTTCTGATGCCAAGGCCTGCCCTCTAATCACTATGGTCTGTTTCCTTACCTGTTAATATAACCTTTGAATGTTAACTCTCTACTTTAAGATTCACTGTCTTTTCAATGAGCTTGATTTCCCACTGTCAATCTTTTGAGTGAGATACTCTATTTTGTCTAATAGGTGAGCACCCTAAACAAAGTTGACAGACCTTTAATACATGGTAATTGATTACCTGTTTCAAAAAACACAACCCTAGACCCAGAGACGGAATCAATCTCATGGTAAAATCTAGCCCACACTCTTTCCCTTCAGATGAATAAAGGTACAATCATCCCAGTATTTCAGATATAACAACTGATGCCCAGAGAGTTTACATGACCTATTCGCAGGTCACATAGTTGTACTTGTCAGAGTGGGAACTAAAATCTACGTCTCCACTTACTTAGCATGGTATTCTTTCTGCTACAACCAACCCAGACATGATTCATAACTTTTGAGTCATATAGTAATTAATAATAAAATAATAATCAAAATTGTTAGCATTCATAAAGTTCTTCAAGATTGACACAGTACTTTGCAAATATCTTCTTTTACCCTCAGAATGATGCTGGGAGGTAGGTGCTATTATTATCTTCATTTTACAGATGAGAAAACTGAGGCAGACAAAGAGATAACTGGTTTGACCAAAGTCACACAGCTAGTAAGTGTCTAAGGCCAAATTTGAACTCAGGTCTTCCTGACCCCAGGCTCAGCTCTTTATCCATGGCACCACCTTGCTGCCTCAACATTTGGGACCCACACTTCTGTATGAGCTGTGCTGCTACCTGAGTCACAGGGTTCTTTTTCTTCTGAGTACACTTGGCTTCATATTCAGGTCTCAGCTGGAGCTGTTGCTGCTCTTCCTCAAAGTCCACCAAGTCCCACTCATACTCCAGCCGGGCCTGGCGCCGTTTCCACAGCTCCAGGAACAAGGTAACTACAAAGAGGAGCGGGGAAAGAGCAAGAGAGACAGAGTGAGAGAACAAGAGACACAGAGAGACATAGCCAGAGAGAGAGGAGAGACAGAGAGAGACAGAGTGATAGACACACACAGAGAGGGAGAGAGAGAGAGAGAGAGAGAGAGAGAGAGAGAGAGAGAGAGAGAGAGAGAGAGAGAGACAGAGACAGAGAGACAGAGTAACAGACACAACATGGAGAGGGAGAGAGAGAGAGAGACAGAGACACACATACACACACACAAAGAGAAAGAAGGAGAGTCAGACAGAGATACAGAGAAAGAGAGATACAGAGACAGAGAGAGACAGAGACAGAGAAAGAGGAGAGACAGACAGGTGGAGACAGAGAGAGACAGAGAAAGAGACAGAGAGAGACAGAGTGATAGACACACACGGAGAGGGAGAGAGAGAGAGAGAGAGAGATACACACACACACAGAGAAAGAAGGAGTCGGACAGAGATACAGAGAGAGAAAGAGAGATACAGAGACAGAGAGATAGATACACACAAAGACAGAGAGAGAGAGAGAAACACACAGAGAAAGACAGAGAGAGAGAAACAGAAAACAACGTTTTTGTTACTGAGTAAATCTTATAAATTGTCCTCATTCTGTGCACCTCATTCTGCCTCACAAACAGCTTTGAAAGACTCTGCAGGAGCTCTGTGTTCGATACAATGTCCTGCCTTGATTTCAGAGGACTCTTGAGGAAGCATGCTACCCACCTCCCAACAGAGAGGGAATGAACTCAAGGTACAGAATGAGACACACATTTTTGGATATAGAAATCTGTTGCGCTTCACTAAGCTTATTTATTACAAGGTTGGCTTGTTTAACATTTTAAACTGGGGGTGGGGGCTGGGGGGACACAGGGTGGGTATAAAGTAAATGCTGGTTAATTGAAAAATCAAATAAAATGAAAAAAAAAAGCAGCAGCAGCCAGTGCTTCAGAGGTAACCTAAGAAGAAAAGGCCACTCTTGTTCTTCTTTTTCCTTTTCTAATATTTGTTTCCCATTTAAGTTGTGTAAGACTTCCTGTTTCCAAGGCTGCCACCCTTTGCATTTCAAATTTTTCACACGCTAGCTCAATGACCCTGGGCAAGACTCTTTTGCCTCTCAGTGCTCTAGACATCTCTCAAGACTGTAAGTCATAGAGAAGGTAAAGGGACTTCCCCACAGCAGTGGAATCAATGTGCAGTCCCAGTTCCTGCCTTTAGACTGGAAAAGTGCAAAACAAGCCAACGCTTTTGAAAGACATTCGTTTTGACATCCTGTGTCCTGAGGTTGGCAGGAAGCAAAGCTGATACCCACAGCTTAGGTTTTAAATAGTAATAACTTGGGGAGGGAAGGGGGGGACATCAAATAGTGGCCGAAGTGCTGGCCTTTGCTTTGATTCAAGTCTCCCCTATGATCCTTCTTAGCCCTGGATAAGTAAGTCAGATGACCTCTGTGGGTTTCAGGCATCTCCAAGGACTTCTCTACTAAGGCAAAAAAGGTTGTCTCTCAAAAATATATGACAGGCTACTACAGAAGTCACCCTAAGTGGTAATACTAGGTCTTTTCATGTATTTTGAGTAATTTTGCACATGCTGACAAAATGACAAAATTCTGCACATATAGCTTAGTAGCTGGGAGACCATGGGCAAGTCACTTAACCTAACTGGGCCATGACTGGGTTAGGCTGAGTTTCCTTCTACATCTAGATCTCACATATAATAAACATTTGAAGGACTGAATGTCTGTATAGCAATCGTAAGTTCTTTGAGGTCAGGAGCCAGGACTTCTGTATCTCACCCATGGATGGGCACGATTATATCATTTAGTTGAATTTCCAAAAGGTAAATGAAAGATACACAAAAATTCAAGTATAATTCAGGGCTAGACTGACAATCCCTGAGAGAACCACCTGATGGCAGCATCATCCAAGCACCTCTCCCCAGTTCTCCATTTGGGATGCCAATATCAAGCCTCTTGAGTTTTCAGATGGGACACATTCTTGAATCAATGAAAACATATGAAGTTAACATTAGAGTCCGCTCTTGATCTCCCCGGGAGATGTTATGCTAACACTCTGCATGTTATATTAAATGAGAGGCAAACGCTTGCTCACCCAGAAAGAAATTGTTTCAACAACAGCATTATTTTTGAAGCATCAACTAGGGTGTGCAGAAAGAGGGTTAGAATTCGTGTCTTTTGCCTTTTTTTGTATCCCCAGTGTTTAGCATAGTGCCTGGCACACAGAAGGTGCTTAATAAATGTTTATTGATTGATTGATTGATTGCTGTTTCACCGAATAGATTGTAAGCTGCTTGAAGCCACAGATTGACTTTTGACTCTTTTTGTATCCCCAGTGCTAAGAACAGTATCTAGCACACAGCAAGCACTTAATAAATGTTGACTGGATTGAACTGAAGTTAAAAAAAAAATTTGTGTCACTAGAGCTAGAATTCAAATAGGTCAAATTCACAGATCTTTTGAAATGTTGAAAGAAAATTTTCATCTTTGGGATCTCCAAGTAAGAATCATAGAATTTTTTTTTAAAGGCAATTGGGGTTAAGTGACTTGCCCAGGGTCACACAGCTAGCTAGTAAGTGTCAAGTATTTGGTCTGAGGCCGAATTTGAACTCAGGTCCTCCTGACTTCAGAGCCGGTGCTCTATCTACTGCGCCCCCTAGCTGCCCCAGAATCACAGAATGTTAAAGAGTTTTTGAGATTACAGGATTATCAACCTAGCTCTATAAGGAGCTTTCTAAGGTTATTATTCCACCATCTCATTTTACAGATGAGAAAACAGAGGCCCAGGGAAGGTTGAGTGGCTTGTCCAAGGTCACAAAAGAAACCAGTGGCAGAGATGGGACTTGTACTCAGGCTTCCTGAATCCCATTCCAGTGGTCTCTTTCTCTCCATGCTATAACCTCACCTGACACACTGGAAGAAAAACTAGGATTTGGGGCACAGGTCAATATTTGCCTTCCTACTCTGGAATCAGTGCAGCATGGTTATAATGAATTCAGTGCTAGATGTAAGTATCAAGAAGAACTGCCTTGGACAATTAACAGCTATGAGATCCTTAACCAGTCACTTAACTGCTCTGGTCCTCAGTTTCTTCATACGTAAAAATGAAAGGGTCAATACCCTAAAGTCTCTTCTAGTCCTGAACTATTCAAGACTATGAGATGATCTTAAGGTCCCTTCCAACTATAGCTTTATGATCCTTTGAATGATACATCCTGAAAACTCCAGAAGTGGGTTTAGATGGCCAATGATGCTAAGATCTAATTTTATTGGCCCAGCAGACCTGGAACAATCTTTTTCTGGAGGTACTACAGAATCCATTAGTTTCAACTTCTTCCGCATCTTTACTCTAGGTCTACACATCTTGTGTTGCAGCCCTTACACTCAACAGTGCAGGGTAGGCTAATCTTCTTAAGACTAGTATAGCCAACCTGTACAACAGGTCTGCTGGCTAGCTATTCCACTTACTGTCATAGCACACGGCCCACAACTGTTTTTCTATGGCTGGGAAAAATATACATATACATGGTGTGGTTAGCGTTGAGTCTCTCTGAGCTTAGCAAGGCTGGTCCTTAAACAAAAGACGAGCCATTGCCAAGCCTGTACTCAAAGGGTTTTTGTAGCGGGGTATCTAGGACCTGTAAGTACAGCTGGTCTCCAGGGACACTCTTTGAGATCCTATGGGCATTTCTAAGTCACAACGACGCATCGGGATAATTTAGTAATGAGACATTAGGATGATGATGATTTGTTTTGTTTTTGAGTGGTTGAATTGGTGATTTAATTGGGGAGGGGAGTTCCAAATGAGGAAATTCCCTCCCTCATTGTAGATCGGCATCTGTTCTGCAACCAAAAGCTTAGGAATAATCTGTGTTTGGAGGCAGGACCTGAACTAAGCTCTTCCTGACTAATACCACTATTTACTATGTCTCACTGCCTCTCGTTTTTATTACCACATTTAACAAAATCAGTTTTGTTCTGCTTAAAGAATCAAATTGGCAAAGAAAACATTCTTTAAAAAACTCATTATTTGGGGAGGACTTTCATTTCACATCACAGAAATTCTGAGTTGGAAGGGATTTTTGAGGTCAAGCAGTACAACGTTTGACTTAATGCATGAATCCCACTGGTAACATCTCTGAAGTCATATAGTCTCCAGTGATAGAGAGAACCCACTACGTTATGAACCAATATATCAAATGTTGGAAAGATTGAATTATTAGGACATTTTTTTCTTATGATGAGCCCAAAACTTACTCTCTATGGCTTATCTTCCCAGGTTTAGTTCTAATCTCCAGGACCCACAAAATGGTACAAATTAGATATGAACTCATGGAGGAGAAGAAGGAAAAATAGATACTTATACCATACGGCCTAAGTGAAAAGTCTTTTCAGTTACTGCTACCCCAATCCAATCCCACAAGCTTCTATTAAGTATCCATGACATAGGAGGTTTGGTCCATTGGAAAAGAGCACAGCCTTGGAGTCAGAAGCCCTGGGTCTATCCTATCTCAGACACTTTCAAGATCAATGATGCTGGGCAAATAACCTAGCTTCCCTAGACCTCAGTTTCTTCATTTATGAAATAAGGGAGGACCCTTCCAGCTCTGTACCTATGATCTGATAAGGTAAGATACTCTACTAGGTGCGTAGCCAAAAAAAAAAAATGAAAAGGAGGCCCTGGTCTTAAGCAGTTTTCGGAATACTTCCCGATGGGCATCCTTCAATTTTGACTGTGAAGAGGTATCTTGGAGAATCAAGTGGGGAAAGGTGGCAATGTAACCTTTATAGGAAGGTGGTCTCCATGCAGAGATAGGGATAGGACGGCAACTGTGATTTCATTGCTATAGCGAGCTTCCAGGGAGGAACTCCATCTATCAATGCAGGCTGTCACCCTCTCAGAAACTTAGTGTCTTAGAGTTGCCTACAGCACTGAGAAGTCATGTGACTTGCCCAGAGTCAATACGAGTCAGAGGAAGGTTTTGAACCCAGGTCTTCTTGGCTCTGAGGCCATCTCCCTAGTCACTACACCATGGCGCCTCTCATATCTGTGTAGAGATACTCACCCCAAATTCCCATGAATATTGCAAAAAATAAGGTGGCCACGTTATCAAACAAGTGCGAATACTGTAAGCGAGAAGACAAAGAAGGTTCATGAAATCAGCAGCTGTCACCAGCACCCCAAGGCTCTTCTCAATCTCTCTAATCCAACATAGACAAGAATACAGACCCTTGAAGACTCACACGTGGAATTCAATTTCCAATATTCACAGTTCTTATCACAGAGAGGACACATGATGATCTCTCCTCCAATGGACTCGTCACAGATTTCTATGCTGCAAGGGAAACAAAGACGTGGTGATGAGAGACGGAATGGCACAGACCCCAGTTTGGTTGGAATGTAAAATGCCTGCAGGACAATAATGTGGAATAAGTCTAGCAAGGCAGTCTGGAGAGAAACTGTGAGAGGCTTTCAATGCCAAACAGAAGAATATGGAAATAAAAGAGAACCATTGGGGTATATTGAATAGGGAAGTGGCATGGTCAGATCCATGCTTTAGAAAAATCACTTTGGCAGTTAGGTGGGGGTGGATGGGAAAGGGGAGAGATGGGAGACAAGACATTCTCTTTAGAAGACAAGGGTTTTTTCTGAAGGAAATTAGGACCAACCGCCATAGAAAAACTGACTCTGCTAGCAGGAATATTTTTGGATGCCAAACCCTTGTAAAGATGAAAGTTAAATGCAGTGTGTGACCAAACCCTTTTCATGTTCTGGCACAGGGGAGCCACCCTTACCTGCTCATGTTGCCAGTCATTGTTATCAAACCATAGATAAAACAGATCAGGCCGACAACTGCTGCAAAGAACAACATCTCGGTATAGAATCCCAGCCAGGCAAAATAGATACCAATTCTCTCTCCATAATATCTCCTGTGGAAAAGAGGTAAGGACAGGTTCAGAGGCAGACTGGCTTCCCAGGGCAGACTCTACATGGTACAGTGGAAAGAGCCCTGATTTTGGAGTCAGAGGATAGAGGCTTGAATCTAGACTCTGACGATTACTACCTGTGTGATCTTGGGGAAGTCATATGACCAACTACTCTGGGCCACATGCTTTCCTCTGGGAAATAAACTAGATCGAACTGATCTCTATGGTTCCTTCCAGACTGAAATTTCTGATCGTGTAGATTTTCATCTCTGAACAACAAGGCTTCAAAAGTGCTTCGAAGGTCAGGGCTTTGCTTCTCAAATACAAATCAGACAGATTTCTACCTTCCCAGAGCTAGAAGGGACCATAGTGATAGTTTTTACAATTATCTCATTTAATATAAACAGATAGGTAGGCAAAGATAAAGATAGAGATACGCTTAATTTTTATATCATCTTCATTGAACAACAGGGCAATTAGGTGGCACAGTGGATAGAGTGCCGGTCCTGGGGTCGGAAGACTCATCAAATCTGGCCTCAGATGCTCATCAGCTATGTAACCCTAGACACTTTACCCTATTTGCCTTATTCCCTCACCTGTAAAATGAGCTGGAGAAGGAAAGGGCAAACCACTCCAGCCTCTTTGCCAAGAAAACCCCAGATAGGGTTATGAAGAGTCGGACATGACCGAAAAGTGACTGAACAGCAAATGGCCAACGGTTTCATAGAGGAGCCTTCCCTGAGAAAGTATTCCCTCCAACACAGTTTCCCTAGAAGCTCTCTTCCCAATGGCATTCCAAAGAAAAATGGACAAATTTTTAGAAGAAAAAGACAACAGAGTTTTTCATTTTGAGGGAAAATCAAGCTCAGGGAATTAAGAAGCTTAAGTTTAGGGAAGAAAACCACCAACAGGTTGATTACAGGAAAGACAAACTCATTTCTCCTGACAGCTGAAATCTACTAGGGCCAATTGGCCAAGGCCCAAATAATAGAAAACATATTTGTTAATGTCGTATCTGGGGACTGAGGCCCTGTGCAATCAGAAGGCAACACTTCTGAAGGATGTAAGGTCAACACCGGGCTTTTCTGGGGAGCTGTTATCATAGTTTTGCATCTATTAAGCCTCTTCTCTCAGATTTTTCTCTCCTCAAACACAGTAAGATTAATAATCCTTTCACAAACACATGTTAAACCTGTCATAGAGTGGAAGGTCAATGAATTTCGAATATTATTTGGCATTTCACCTTGAATGAACCAAACAAATTCAAAGCATGTGTTTAGGGAAATTCCAACAGAAATACTAACGAATAGTAGAATGTGAGCTCTTCCTCTTTTCTACCTTCCAATATGATCATGGCACATTTACAGTCAAGGCACTGTGCTAAGCAGTGGTCATATGAAGAAAGGCATAAAACAGTCTCAGCTTTCAAAGAAGCCACAGTTCAATTAATGGGGTAGACAAGATGCAAACAACCATGTACAAACAAAATACATACAGGATAAATATACTGAGATAATCACTGAAAGGAAGACATCAGCATTAAGGAAGATCAGGAAAGGCTTTTTGGAGAAGGTAGGATTTTAGCTGGGACCTTAAGGAAGCCAGGGAAAGGAGGAGGTAGAGACTGTACTTCAGCTATGGAAGTAGCTCCTTTATAAAGGACAGATTTATAATACTTTAAGATGTGATTTTACTAGGGTAAGAAATTCTTCCACTGTTAGAAAATGCAAAACAAATCACACCTCAGTGGATGGTTTTCAAGAGACAGGATGCAAAGGACCTGTGGCTTCTTCAGTATAATTCCCACATCATTTCATTTCAGTATAGGGCAACTGCTTTCACAAGATAATAGTAACTCATCTTAGTAGATGAGTCTTAGGAGATAAGTCCTAAAGTCTTGCTGCAGGTAGGTCAAGTGAATTGTGCAAGTATCAGAGCTGGGGTTTGAACTCAGATCACCCCGACTACATCTACTATACCACACTGCCTTACTGTAACTCTGAAAGTTACTATGTCTCTCTTTGCTCAAGTCAGTCATCCTAGTGGCCAAACTTCTAGTGATGATTAGTAAAATGGCAACCTATGGAAACATGTTCTGCATGACCACACAGGTATAATCTATGTCAAATTGTTTGCCTTCTCAATGTGGGGTGGGGGGAGAGGAAGGAGGGAGAGAACTTGGAACTCAAAATTTGAAAAAAAAAAGTTAAAATTGTTTTTACATGTAACCAGGAACAATAAAATATTAAATTTTAAGAAGACAAATAAATAAAAATAAATAAATAAATAAATAATATCCTAATCAGATCAATGCGACCTTCTAAAATTCAACATCAGTTTTTGCAGATGTTAACCTAACATTCTAGTTGCAGGCATTTAATTGGTTAACAAGTTAGGGCTTGTTTTTGTTTTCCTTCAAGAATGACCTTGGGAGAACCTAACTACCAGCAGATGGCAGCCAAGATGAAACCAGTAGAATTCGAGTGCCAGCATTCAATACAATGCTATAATCCTAGACTAAGAGCTGGTAAGGGCCTTGGAAGTAATCTAGTTTAATATCCTTTAATATACAGTTAAGGAAACTGAGACCCAAGTGGTTAACTGGAATATAAAATACTTGAGTGTAGGGACTATTTTTTGCCTTTTTTCACAGATCCAGAACTTAGAAAGTGTCTGACATATGGTAAGCGCTTACTACATGATTACTGACTTGACTTGCTAAGTAATTTGCTCAAGGACATAGACAGTAGGTGTCAGGGGCAGGATTTGAAATCAGAGCCATAAGCAGTGCTCTTTCTTCTGTAACTGTAAAAAAAAAAAAAAGATCTAACCTAGCATTGCCAAGTGAAAGGGGAAGCCCTAATGACATTTCATTCACAGTGGTGCTCATGGAAGTAACTTACCTGATCAGATCTAAAGGCTGCTCCTTATAAAACCTCAAGAAGCGAGCCCATTGGGTATAGAGGGTATACCGCTCATTGCCACAGTTCTGATCCTTCGATTTCTTCCAATATTGGCCCTATAGGAAGTCATTAACATGACAGAGAGAAGACAAAGCAGAAGGTAATATTGAAGTGACAGTGTCTGCCAGTTACCTCAGCATAATGCATAGGGCAGAGAGGTGGGGTGCAGCACAGGGGATACATTAGCTCAAATACTTCCTACTTGAGATTCCAATAACCCATTCATTTAAAATGAATTCCCTGCCAAAGAGGAAGTCAGAAATGGCACATGATGAAAGTCAATTCTCTCTCCTTTGGCCCTCTGTGAAGTAGGGCTTTGGTGTCAATTACATAGTCTCTTGCACCTAGAATACTTTCCCCTTCTATCTAGCTCAGGCAGCTAGGTGGTACAGTGGATAGAGCACTGGCCTGGAGTCCAACACGGCTTCAGATACTTACTAGCTCTGCGACCCTGGACAAGTCACTTAACCTCTGTTTACCTCAATCCCCTCACCTGTAAAATAGGGTTAATAATACAAGTGCTGATCAAAATGCATGGACACACTGATCATGTCTGACAGTATATGCCTCTACTCTATATCTGCTGTTGACCACCTCTGTACCACAGGGAAGGAGGTATGCATCTCATGCTATTTAGCAATTATGCATCATTCTGAATATTCTCTAAAATTCTAGATATGTGTATATGTAAATATGTATATGCAAATATGTATATGCATATGTGATATGCTCTCTTCCTTTATAATAATCATGTATTTTATTTTTATATTGCTTTAAGGTTTACAGAATATTTTTACCTCAAACATCTTTTGTAAGGTAGATAATGCAAGTATTAATACCCCTATTTTCTATACGAGAGAGAACTGAAGCTTAGAAAGATAAAGGAGTTGGCCAGCATCACTCAGCTAGCAACAGAGCTGAAATCTGAACCCATGTGACTTGCTTCCAAGTTCATTGATCTTTCTAAGTCTACCTCCCTAAATTAGAAGACTCCTAAAAGCAGGAAGCAGGCAGCCCTCCTTTTCTCTTCCCCATAATACCAATAATAAAATTGTATTTCCACAGTCTCCACAGCAGAACTGGAGTATTTGGCTGTAGGAAACTCAAAAAAGTGGATACATCCATTTCCAGGCACCACATTTAAGGAAGGACATTAACAAAGTAGAATGTCTCCAAATTGGACACCAGTGCCAGGGGGAATTGGCTTGGAGGCATTACAGACTTTCAGCCTCCAAGAGAAGACTTGAGGGGAAGAGAAAAACATGATAATAACTGTCTTTGAAGGATGTGAAGACTGTCATACGGAAGAGGGAGATTTATAATGCTGGACCTCCAAACTCATAATGATATGGTTAGCAGTTGCAAAGAGGGAGATTTTAGCTCAATATAAAGAAGGAGTTCTTAGTCATCAGAGTTGTCTAGAATCAGAATGTGCTATCTCAAGATGTAGTGGGGTGTTCAAAAAGATGCTGGCAGGCCATTCTATTCATGAGGGATTTTGAAGAAGGAATTCCTGTTTGGATATGACTTGGTTTAAATAGATGGCCACTGAAGGTGTCCTGTGGTTGCCCAAGGGCTGACTCATTCACATCAGGCCTGTTCCAAGGCATTACTGTCAAAGGGAAATTCCTTTACTGCTCTTGGTCCACAGCCAAGTCTGGGGAGTAGCTTCTCTTGCTCTGATAGTAAGAAACACCTCAAATTCCCCCATGCTGTTAACCATCATTCACATCAGAAAAATCTTCCAGGATTGTGTACAAGACCCTTGATTTCCCCATCTGTATCATTTTTCTTGATGAGGCGAAATGACCTGACACTATGGTAAATATCTCATAGAATATCTACCATAACACGAATGGCCTGATTGTCTCAATAACTCCTGTAATAGATGGGCTTTACTAGGTGTGGACATATTAATGGCACTTCTCCATTTGTAAATATGGATGAGTAGGCAGCCACCCACATTTCCCTGGAATTCTCTGCTTTCCACAAACTTGCATATGATGTCTCATAAAGCAAAAGCACCACTGCAGGCCCTTTAAACATTAAGGAAGGAGAAATTTATCAGGGTAGTTGTTGGACCATTAAGTAAAAATCCCAGAGGAAAGAGTAACTCCTAGGGGAAGCTTATCCACACTTTACTCCGAAGCCCTCCATGAATATTCAGTTTGCCACTGATTAGAGCAGACCATTCACTGAGTTCCAAATCCTAAATGAGATAAGAACAGTTCCCCTACTATTGCCAGACTGGCTGAATGCTAGGTGCATCTCCAGAGATGGGCTTTCTGAACTGGCTCCAAAGATCTGGGTTGAGCACCTGTTTTCAAAGCACTATGCTCTTGTATACTGTAAAAATGTCCACTGTGATAGAGGTAGCTACTAAACTCAGTCTTTTCATATGCAAACAGTGATTTGCAGGAATTCTTAAGAACATCCTATCCTTGTTCTCATGTCTCCTGAAAGCAGGGACATCTTTTATGTGTGTGTCCTGGACTGCTTTGGCATTTTGGTGAAGCCTAAAGACCATCTTTGATCAGATTATGTTTTTAAACGCATAAATTAAAATACACAGGATTACAAAAGAAAACAATTATATGTAATGTAGTTATCTTTTTTAAAGTCACAAACTCAAAGAATCCTGGCTCTAAAAGTAACAGGAAAAAAAAAGTATGGGAAAACTTACATGAATAAGTGAAGAAAGCAGAGCCGAGAAAACAATATGCATAATGACACCACAGAAATCAAAAAAGCAGCCATAAAACAATGAAAAGTAGATGTTGCAAAGTGATAAAGAATAAGTTTGGCTCCAAAGAAGATACACGATAAGACACCTGCCCCCTCCCCTCTTCTACAGAGGTGGAAGGGCCATAGCTATAAAATATTACATTTGTTATTTTCAATTTTTTTACTGTGTTGATTCATTTCATTTTCTTTCCCTCTTCTTCCTCCCTTTATTAATAAAAATTTCATTGTTTTATGGGATGGCTCTCTGTGAGGAAGGAGGGGGACGTTATACAAGGAAAAATTTAGGTGATGTAAAAATAGAAGAGAAAAATTTACATTTAAAAAATAAAAGTAATAAGAAAATAGCCAATGAAGTATTTAGGGATTCCATCAAAATCACCTATTTTGTTTTGTTAATGCTTTTTTAAAACTAAAATTTTATTTACATATTGTTTTTGTTTCTAAAATTTAATCTTTTTTAAAACTAAGATTTTAGTTACATATTATTTTTATACTTCTTATACTTCTCAGTTTGTCCCCCAAGGCTTCCTCTTCCAATGAGCAATCCCTTATGATGAAGAATAAAGAAGGGGGGAAAAAGTTCACCAAAACTCAACACTGTATCAGAAAAGTCTTTCTGCACCATTGCATATCCATAGTCTCCTACCTCTAAAACAGTGATTTTTAACCTTTTTTGGATCACAGATCCCTTTTGTCTTGGGAGGTCTATAGACTCCTCTCAGAATAATGCTTTTAAGTGAATAAAATAAACACATAAGATTACAAAAGAAACCAATTGTAGTGAAATACAGTGATCAAAGTTATTTTTAAAGACAAATTCTTAGACCCCAGGTTAAGAACTCTGAGTCTAAAGTGACTCTTAGTACTGAATCTTCAGAGTTTTCTAAGTAAGGTTTAGATAGAAATATCTAAGGGTTATACTTAGCAGCATGCTTCTTTCTCCCTCCCTATAGGGCTATGCTATTTTTTTGGTCCTTCGACCCTGAAAGAACCTTCATGTATAAATGTGAGAAATCATTTTTAAAACACCAATTTGCCCTTTCTGAGCTTCAGAATGTTACCACCTGGGAAAAAGAAAAACAAAAAACCCAAACCTCAATTTCCAGAGGGTTTTCAGTTTGCCAAGTACTCTTACAGAGTAAGTGTCAGAGTTGGGATTCAAACCCTGGCCTCCTTGAAGCCAAGTCTAGCACTCTTGCCTTTGCACCATCCTTCCTTTCGAGATAGCCGAGTATCTTAGTACACAAAACTGAGAACTGGGAGACTTCAGGGATTTTCTCAGGAGAGGGAGAAGTAAAGCTCCCTTCCTTTTAAAGGGTCACCAATGGAGATTCTCCAGCTCCATTAATGGGCAGAAGAAATGGCCTTAAAATGTTTTAAGACTAAATCAATACTTACATCATGGAGTGGGTAAGCAGCTGTATAGGTACCATTTGATAGCAGTCTCTTAATGCCAAATTTTTTCTTTCCTTCTTCTGTACCGTAAGGGCACCGTGAGAGAATATAGTAAACCTAGGAGGCAAACATAAGGGTATCCACTTATTCACTTCAAAATACATTGTAAGCGCCTACTCTGTATAGGGCACAGATGGTGCTAGGAACTTAGGGAGACAGAGAATACTGGAAGGTGAGACAGACAAGGCAAGGCACATACAAGGTTCTGTAATGCAAAATAAAACATTGCTAACATTTATTTACATGTGATTTTACAGCTTGAAAAGCGTTCTATGAATAAATGAATGATTGTTTGATCATCACAACAACCCAGCATGGTTAAGTACTATAGGTTTTTTTTTAATCCATTTTACCAATAGGAAAACTGAGGCTCAGCAAAATTAAATAATTTGGCCATAATAAGTGTCAGAGGTAGGATTCAAACACATCTCTCCTGATTCTAAATTCAGTATTCTTTTCACTATACTATAGTGCCTCTTGATGATGAAAGTATTGAGTCATGTGAAGAAAAGATATGTGGGCCTTATTGGGCTTGGGTGAATGGGGGAGACAGGGAAGAAGAGAGTAGCTAAAGGCTCAGAAGTATATTAGGAAGACCTTGTACTATGCTGGGTAGGCCTTGATGGGAAATTGATAGGAGTATGTGGACAAAGATTGCACAGAATGGGTGGACATGGATGGCTAGCCATCTGCATGGCTGGTGAGAATGACAAGATAATCACAGTGCAACACACTGCCAGGAACCAGAAAAAAACAAATGTTCTGAGCTGTTATTTTAAAGATGGAAACCAAAAAGTCTTAAAGGAGCTTCTCTTCTATTAAAGGGAAGGAAGTGGCATGTACACTGATGAATACAAGACAGTCTGAGTAGAGAAGAGGACTAAGATGGGTGTGGCAGTGGGAAGGCTTCCTCCCAGAGTGTTCCCACTTGCCAGGTCTGGGCTAGTGGTAGGTAAGATGGAGTACATGGAAGACAGTGGCTCAAAGTATCTGACTGAGTAATAGTCTCTCGGGGAGCAGCTGAATGATTCAGGTGTACAAACTCAGAATGAGAAGGTCTAGGGCCAGGAGCAACCTGAGACTATGATTTCAATAGGTGTCACTTGAACAGACCATGAGAAACAGTCAAGAGAAATCCAGTAAGCATGTGATTCAACTCTTGGCCCTCTTCCCTCTGACTCACTTCCAGTGAAATCTCCCAGCCTGGGGCTAAATGAGACAGTACTCAGTTTCATATAGGAAATAGGAGACAGTGGCTCAGGTGAGCTGCATGGTTGAGATAGCTTCCAGAAGGCAGGATTTCAAGTCCATGTTATACTTTTCCTCATTCTTCCTTTTGAAATATGCCTCTGCTACTCTCTGCCTGATATGTGTTGGTTTCCTCAGGTCAAGGGGGTGAGGGGTGATAGTTCTCTGAGAGGAGCCAGGAGATTCTATTTCAAGTCCCTGCCATCCTAGTCATTGTGATTTGTTATCTCACTAAGGAAGCCAGAGTAGCTGAATTAGGAGTTAGACAAGACACTGGCTTCCAGGGGCAGTGGTCTAGAGATTGCACCAGCCTCTTTCCTACTCTAAGATTATCTAAGAACAGCACATTACAAGTATGGAAAGCAGAAGTTCTGGGTGGGTATCTGTAGTACTAGATATACTCTTCTTGTGGTAGTACAAGGAAGACACAGAGAAAGGAGGAAGAGACAAGACCACTGTGATGGTACTGTGAGGCATAAGGCGCTTGGTTTCTGGGTGGCTTTTCTTGAATGTCTATGTTCCTGTTTTGATATAGTGTGCATGCTCTTGGGGAAGTTGTATATAAGCCAATGCTGCAAGCTGCCTGAGGTTTTGTTCGCAGAGAACACGGAATGGATTGGCAGCGAGGAATCTGCCAGCAACAGCTGGATCCTTGACAGTGCTTTCTGGCAGGTCTGGGCAAATTACTCATATTCTCTTGGCACTCTAGAATGGGTAGGATAATAATAGTGATAGCTGTTCTATTTCCTCAAAAGATTGAGGTAAAAATCAAATGACACAAAATATGTTAAAGTGATTTACAAAGAACAAAAACATGTATATACACATATACATGCGCATACATACATACACACATACAGATAGATAGATATAGATATAGATATGTATACAGGTTACAAGTAATAACAATTTACAAAGCCATGATGCTTAGGGAAAGTGATTATGGGGGGAAAGGGTGCTGCATCAGTGTCCACAAAAGGAGGTAAGATATTAATTGTCTCACTACAAAAGAGAGGAAATCTTAACCCAAAAATGCCTTCAGTTTGGGACGCCTAGCATTAAATAACTGAAGAGTGGCAATATGGCATAGTGGATAGAAAGTCAACCTTGTCATTAGGAAGACTGATTTGAATCCTGCCTCTGAGACCAGTGACCATGCAGAGATCACTTAATCCCTCAGTGTGCCCAGGCAACACTCAAAGATGATGTTACATACAAGATGACAATATGCATCAATAGAGGGAAGATCCACACCAGGAGTTCCTCAGATTGATAAAAATCATACCCTTAACCCTCCCCCCTCCAAAAAAAAGGAAAGACATAAAGGGAAGTCAGTTTCCCCAGAGATTCATCACTTCTTTTTTCTTGTTTAGAATCTATTAGACTGCAATCCCTTTGGGAGGAAGGACTACATAATCATCTTTCATCGTTGCATCCCCAGTGCCTAGAATGGTGCCAGGTCTTAAAGAACTCTTTGTTGAATTGCGTTCCAAAAGGATTCTGAGTCCCAAGTCAGCAACCTAGACTTTTAAAGCAACCACTCAGAGAGCAGTGAGAAACTTAGCAGTTGTTATCTCCAGGATCCACACTTTGGTTCCAGGCATTGACTCTCTCTCAATAAGGCTGTCAGCAAATATCACCTCATCCATTTAGCAATGGAAATGGATGGCTCTTTTTGGAGATGGTTTTCTCAGCCCGGGAGAGACACGGTGTGCTGACACACGTATAAGAAGTGATGGTGTCCGTGGCTCCTTAGAAACAAAGGGTGTGCTATCTCAAGACAGAAATGAGTGTCTTGTCTCTTTCAGACTCTCATGGCCCAAATTAAAGGCAGCTAAGTGATACAGTGGATAGAGTGAAGACTTGCAATTGAGAAAATGACTTCAAAACCTATCTCAAAAACTCAGTTGTGCCACCCTGCTTAAGTCACTTAACCTTTCTGTGCCTCAGTTTCCTCATCTGTAAAAGGTGCAGACTGGACTCAATGCCTTCTGAGATTGTTTTCATTTTTAAATCTATGACCCTGTGATGTTTACTATCGAGTAAACTTGCAAATTCACTGCATCTCTTGGGACATGAGCCTCTTCACCTGTAAAGGGAGGGGGTTAGACTAGATGGCTGCTGGGACGCTTCCCAGCTTTAGGTCTCTGATCATAGGGTCCAGGATGCTGCTCCTCAGACACAAGACGCTCAATCTATCATTAGGTTAGCACTCCAAGTATTTCCTACTTGGTAACATCTGCCAGGGCTTCTACCCCTGACATGAGCATGAGGCCAAGGTCACCTACGTGCCGTCCAGACAGATCAGAGCTGGCCTTGACTGGCAGCATCAATTACTTGAGTTTCATAAAAGAAAAAAAAAACCTTCCTGTTCCTGAAATGTTAAGTTTGAGTTTCTGGTCTTCAGCCGAGCTCAACAAGGCCAAGGGCCTATCACCAAGACATCCAGCCACAATGAACTGTCAACTAGTATTTTTGCTACTGTCAAACTGCAAACCACACAAGTAATTTGGTTTCCCCATTTAACCCACATATGTTTGCATTTTTCTGTGAAGATAAACTTGAGATGAGGGCGTGGGCACCATTGTTCTATGCACACAGTAATGGCAAGCCTTTTAGATCCTCGGGTACCACAGTAGCATCTCTAGTTGTGGCTTCCACTCCACTCCCTTTGCTCATTTGAGAGTAGGGAGAAAGGATTTCTTGCCCATATCTTATCTAGGAAATATTCTGTATCACTAACCATTCATGCCCTTTGACCCTAAGATTCCACTACTGAATATGTACCCCAAGGAGATTAGGGACTGAGAGAAAGGTCCCATATATAGCAAAATATTCACAGCAGCCCTTTGGGGGATAGCAAAACAAAACTGGAAACAAAATAGGTGTTTTGTTTTGGGAGTAGCTGAAAAATTATGAAATATGAGAATTAGGGAATATTATTACACTACAAGAAGTAATGAATAGGGGGCTTTCAGAGAAACATGAGAAAACAGAAATGAATTAACAGACTGAAGAAAGCAGAACCATGAAAGCAATACACATATTGACTGCAATCAGCTAACAGTACACTAAAAAGTTGGAGAATTCAGATTAAATACTAAAAGGCATGGCTCCTGGCTCTTGATACAGAGGTGCTGAATGCAGAATACACTGTCACACACCCCCGTGTCAGATTAATTTGCTTAACTATTTTTCTTTGTTTCAGTGGAGGGCTCTATGTAGGGAAGGGTGCAGATCAAGAAACTACTCTGCTATTATCAAAAACCCAAAACAAAAAGAAACCCTAAACAGGTTTCTATGCTGATGAAATCTCAAAATCTATTTTTCCTGCCCCAATCTCTCTGCTGACCCGCAATTTTGCATTTCAGACACCTTGAACTAGATGCCCAGTAGACATCTTAAACTTGGTATGTCTAAAACTGAATTCATCATCTTTAACCCTAAACCCTCCTCCATGCCTACTTTCCCTATTGCTATCGAGGGCAACACCATCCTCCCAGTATCTCAGGACTGCAACCTAGGTGTCACCTTGGATTCTTCACTATCTCTCTCCCCCCTCCCCCATATCCAATCTGTTGTCAAAGTCTATCAATTTCAACTTTAAAACATCTCTTGCATATGTCCCCTTCTCTCTTCTGACACTGCCATCACTCTAGTGTTGGCCCTTGTCACCTTATACCTGGATTATTTCAATAGACTCCTGGTGGGTCTGCCTGCCTCAGGCCTCTCCCCACTCTGGCCCACCCTAAATTCAGCTACTATGGTTATGTCAATAAACTCCAGTGGCTTCCTGTCGCCTCTAGGAATAAATACAAAATGCTTTATTTGGCATTCACCTAGACCCCTTTAGCTTTCCAGTATTTTTACACTTCTCTCCTAGACACATACTCTTTGATTCAATGACATTGGCCTCCTGGCTTTTCCATGAACAAGACACTCCATCTCTTGGCTCTGAGCATTTGCTCTGGCTGTCCTCCACATTCACAATGTTCTTCGTCCTCTGCTCTAACTAGTATCCCTGGCTTCCTTTATGTCCCAACTAAAACTTCATCTTTCCTTTCCAACCCCTCTTAATTCCAGTGCTTCCACTCTCTTAATTATCTCCAATTTATCCTATTAACATAGAGCTTGCTTTGTGTGTGTGTGTGTGTGTGTTGTGTAGATATAGACATATTAGATAGATATAGATATATGTTTGCATGTTATCTCCCCCATTAGACTGTAAGCTCCTTGAGGTTCCCTTTTTTTGTATCCCCAGGGCTTAGCACAGTGCCTGCCATATACCAGGTACTTAATGTTTACTTTACTTTACAGTAATGCTTACTGATTGATAGATACCCATCAGTATATTGAATTGGGTGGGGGTGGAAAGGATTGACTCCTAGACACAGAGAAAGTATGAAGAAGTCTGGTCTCTACTACCTCATGGTCCAGTTTAATATCACACACATCCATGCCCACCCAGCACTGCCTATTGGCTCCTTATCACACAAGTACATGCTCATGGGAACCTTTAGATTTAAAGAAAAAAGCTTAGAATGTGTCTACCTACAATTCTATTTCTCACTGATGGCGAGAAAAAGGTGTTCTCATCTTCAATGAAGAAGAGCTCCTGCCTCTGTTTGCTGAATGGGGCTGTGAAGTAGTCTGGCTCAGGGTTCATCACTTCTTTTGGGAGCCGGAAGGGCCCAAACATACACTCAAAGGGATTCTCCATGGCTGAGGGAATGTCATTCTCCCGAATAGGCATCTTTATGTTCAGCACCTCTGCATATGTGGTCAGCACCTCCCAAGGGGCATGGATCTTGACGAAGTAAGTTCGGCCATCCTCAGAGTCCTAAGAAGAAGAAGATACATTGATATTAAGGACACTGAGATCTGGGCTATAGAAATAAGGCAAAATACAACTTTTTTCTTTCAACAGTCTTTGGGAGAAAGGTATGCGACATGAAAGCAAGCCACGTCCTATACTTAAAAACCACCCAAGCTAAAAGACTTCCAGGGTATAATTTGAACTTAAGTAAAAGATTCAGCAAAATCTCTTGTGCTTTTAGAAAATTAGTATGTTGTAACCAAAAGAGTACTAGACTGGGAGTTTGGAGAAACATGGGTCCAAATCCTGCCTCTAACACTTACCAGCTTACTAGACATTAAGCACGTCTGTAGAATACTTGCACTCCCTACCTTCCAAAGTTGGTCTGTAGAACCAGTTATTCATGGTGTCTTCTTCCTTAAAATTTCCTCTACTACTTTGATCTCTCCTTTGTTATGAGCATCATGGCTCACCTTATCTGTACATATGCTGTACCTCCCTAGTAAATTATAAGCTCTTTGAGAGCAGGGAGAATTTTGTTCTTATCTCCATTATCACCAGAGCTTATCAAAGCTAAGTGACTGGGAAGTAAGGAATACCAATTCCTACCCAAAGGTATAATAGAAGGCAGTGAAGTGATGCAGTGAATAGAGCTAGGCCGGAAGTCAAGAAGACCCAAGTTCAAATCTGATCTCAGAGATTTAGTAACTGTACGTCCCTAGGCAATGTGTCATTTTCTTCAACTAAAATGTGGATAATAATCACACCTACTTAACAAGGTTGTTGTAAGAATCAAATGAGATAAAATTTGTAAAGCTCTTAGTAAAATGCCAATGCTTCTTCCTTCTTCTCCACAGGTAAGTAGTATTTTTTTAATTCCAAGAAATTAAAGGTCATCCAAAAGGCAATGGAGGGAGGCTACAATGGAGTATAGGCTACAAAGAAGAATTTCAGGGAAAAAAGAGGCATAAATGATGATGCAAAGAAATATATGACCAGAAAATGAAGTAGGTTGGCCACAGAGGCAATAAGATGGATCCCAGACAGATGGCTATCTGGGAACTTCACTGGTATTCATGTAATAAAGAGGTCTAGAGCATGGAATCTTAATCTGGAGTATGTGAACTTCTTAAATATTTTTGAAAGCTGTATTTCAATATAATTAATTTCTTTTGTAATCCAACGTATTTTATTTTATTCATTTAAAAACATTATTCTTAGAAAGAGTCTATAGCCTTCACCAGACTAACAAAGGGGTCCATGACATTAAAATATTCAAGAACTCCTGGTACAGAGGAAGAGACCTAGCACACTGGGTGGAATCCTTGTGAAAATTTTACTGGAAGGCATGATCAAAGATTGTGCAGGATGTGGAGGCACAGCATTGAGATCTGCACTGTTAAAGTGCATCCCCATCGTGGGAAGATCATAGCTCTGTTGAAGTATCCCCGAGTGCAGCTAATAGTTGCTTAATAATTGTTTGCTGATAAGTTGTTTGACTTAAATTGTAAAGTTAAAGAGCTATTGTGTTTCGAACTCCTATTATTAAATGTTTTATGGCTACAATTCTGGGCAATTTAATTAAATATGTATTAAGCATCTAAAAGCTCAGGGCCCTATGCTTAACACTGGGGATATAAAGACTTAATGATTACAGTTTCAAGTCACTCCTTCCTCAAATTTTCCTCGACTACTCTAATCTGTCCCTGGTGCTTGCCTACTAGAGAGTCTATTAAGGAAGATGCAACATGTACACAGATAATTATGATGCAAGGTAGGGTGCAATAGGGGCAAGTGAGAGAACTCTAATGTACTCTAGGAAAATCTGATCAGAGAGACATTTCCAGCTTAAGGAAGTGGAGAATGAAAGAAGGCTTCATGGAGGAGGTAGTACTTTGATCTGAGTTTTAAAAGCAAATTAACAAGTATTTGTATAGTGCTTCCTATATATTTAATGCCCTTAAGACATTCTTTCCACTTTCAAGGATATTCCTGCTTAATTGGAAAGAAAGGCACACACACAGAGGATAACCTGAAGAGAGGTAGCTAAATACAATAGAAGGATCACTAGAACTGAAACTACAGTCAGGTAACCTGGGTTCAAATCCTGGTTTATTAGCTGGGTGACTTTGGGTAAAGCACTTTCCTACTCTGAGCCTTTATTTTCTCATCTGTAAAATGGAGCCATAATACATACATCCTTCCTCAAAGGGGCCCTATCATGAAAGTGCTTTGTAAACCTTAAAAGAGCTGTAAAAATGCAAGCGGTCATCAGTATTATAATTAAATATTATATTCTAAACTCTAGCTCAGATATTAGAAGAATTGAGAGGAAGTAAGGGGCAGATCAATATGGACTGATACAGTCAAGGGAGGTTTCATGAAACAGAGTAGCTCTGAGCTAAACTTTAAAAGATGACTAGAGTGACTCTGGGCGAGTCACATCTGCCTCACCAAAAAGCAAAAAAAAAAAAAAAGAAAAAAAGAAAAGATGACTAGGATTTTTAAAGATATCAAAGTCAAGGAAATATGAGGTGGAAATAATCTGGGCATGTTTGAGGGCAGCTAGGATGGGGAGATTTCCCTGACTGGACTTTAGAATTGGTAGAGTGAGTAGTGGGAAGGAGAGGCAATGCAATCGGACATACAGAGCAAAACTACTCCTGTAAATTCAGTGTGGCATACTGACAACCCTGGGGTCTGAGGTCTACTTCAACTGACTTCTCAATGAGTAATATAAGAGAAGCAGGCCTCCATCCCAAAATAAAGCATCTCCATCCTGCTTCCAAATTCAATAGTAGTAATAATAATATTAATTAATTACAAATAAGTAATACTTAATTATAGGGACCCAAACTCACATTTATATAGCACTTTAATGTTTACAAAGAATCACCTTCCACTGGGACAGCTAGGTGGCACAGTAGATAGAGCACCAGCCCTGAAGTCAGGAGGACCTGAGTCCAAATCTGGCCTCAGGCAAACACTTGACACTTACTAGCTGTGTGACCCTGGGCAAGTCACTTAACCCCAATTGCCTTAAAAAAAAAAAAGAACCACCTTCCTCACAAGAAGATAAAAGATATAGAATCAAATATTATTCCTAATTGTAGTGAGGAAGGAAAAAAGAGGTCCAGGGAATCCAGGCGCTTTGCCCATGGTCACACAGCTAAGAAATGTAGGGCTAGGATGGGAAATCAGGACCCCTGACTCTGAGCCTTCGGAGAAACCCAAATTTTGGTTTCTGTTTCAGATGAATCTTATTAAACAGGTTAAGTAAGGACATTAACAACTATATTTACCTTTTTGTCTTCTGTTTCTAATTCCAGGCCAGATTTTAAGAGGTTATTTTCAAATTCCTTTCTTCTTTCCTACAGAGACAAAAGCAGTCAACATGGAGATGTCACTGGCATCAGGTTGGCCCAACAATTTACAAGTAGAGTACATAAAGATTATGAATGTTGAAATACCTCGGGCCTATACTTAGTTGGATACAGGGTTTTTTTTTTCCCTCTTCTTTTCAATACTGACATTTGCTTTTAATTGATCCTGACTTAAAAATGATATACAAGTAAAAAAATCATATCCCAGGTATATAAATATAACAAAAAAAAACCATTTTGACTTCTATATTGTAGCATACTCAAGAACTTGGACCTACAAACCAGCCAATGCCTAAAATATTCTTTAAAAGTTAACTTGAATTCATTCTCTCTGCCTCTCTCGCTCTTGCTCTCTCAAAATTGCTTCTATTTCTATATCCCAGGGAAGAATAAAATAATGTGTAAAAAACAAAACAAAACCCAGAACAGGATTTCTTCATCTGTGATTCATATATATACATGAATACATACACACACACACACACGTGTGTGTGTGTGTGTATATATATCTCTCACAGATGAAAAAATCCTATTCTGTTTTTTATATGCGTGTGTGTATGTATGTGTGTATGTGTGTATGTATGTACATACGTATGTATAAAACCAGAATAGGATTTATTTATATATATATATATATATATATATATATATATATATATATATATCATGTATGTGTGTATGTACACGTGTGTATGCATATACACATCTACACATACACACACACACACATGAAATCACTGATTAGAAATATTAAATCCTGATACTCTCTATTAAATATTTCTAGGATGAAGTATTTGCCACTGGAGGGATTCAACTCAATTCAAACAAACATTTATAAAGCGTACAAAGGAAATGGGAAAAGGCAAAGGCAATACAAATGACAATCCCCAGACTGGCCTAGAGGTTATTTGTTCAATTACGTTCACCCTGACTCCCTGCCTCCTCCCTCAACTGAAGTCAAAAGGAATTAGCCAACTACATGGGCATGTTGGACTAAGTGTGATCCAAGATTACATGGGGTAAATCTTATAATGAAAGATCTCACCCTGTAATCCATGTTGGCTTAGGAAGTTTATGACATGAAGTCTTCTTGTAATGGATTGGCTGATAACATTTTTAAAAACACTTTAAATGTACTGTGTTCCAAAGAGGGGAAAGTTACATAAAATTTCATAATATATTCTCATCATTAGGGTTAGGGTCATAAGTTAAAATGCTATGATAAGAAACGGTGTGAATTCCTCCCAATGCTTAAAAAAATCAGTTATCTACAAAAAGATAAATTGTCCCCGTGAGCATAATTCTCCTATTGATAACTTCCCTTGCTTATTAATCAAAATTAGCATTAATGTTTAACTTAGATGGCTATCCTTTATCAACCTATCCTACCAATTAAAAAAAAAGTGGTAGGTTAAATATATCTGTTGCCTTCTATTTCAAAATAAAAGAGAAGCAACATGTTATTATAGTGGATAGAACGTGGGACTTGAGAGTCAGAGTAATTAAGATCCAGGTTCAAATCCTGACTCAAATATATACTAGCTGTGGGATGCCAAGTTAAGCACTTAACCTCTCTGGTCCTCAGTTTACCCATCTGTAAAAAAAGAGGGTTGGACTCAATAGTCTCTAAGGAGACTTTCAACTAAAAATCTATAACCCCAGGAACAACATTCTTTTTTTTTCCTTTCTTTAAATTTTATTTGTAATTTATGGAATAAAACAAGCATTTCCATAACATAATACCAAAAAAAAAAGATTTACACCAAATCTACTATGCACAACTTGCTATTCCTTTCAAATATACAACGAAATTATCATGTAAATTTCCTTTTTTTTTGTTCTCTTCCTCCCCCACCCCCTGACTTACAAATGGCTACTATAACACACAAATAGGTATATATAAGTAAAATTATTATATACATACTTCTACAGAAACAACATTCTTAAGGTATTTATGCTTATATGTGTACACGTTACTCTAATAGACCATGAACTCTTTGAGGGAAGAGACCATTCCACTTGTCTTGACTTCTCAATATATTGCCTAGAACACATGCTCAATGTTACATTCAACACGATGTTCAACACAATGCCTATTGATTGACTGATCCAATATTTAGTTGATTGTAATGGGGTGTGTGTGTGTGTGTGTGTGTGTGTGTATACGTATACACACACACACAGAGGAACAGAAAAGCTAGCTATTAGAAGAAATAACATTGTTATAAATATTACATTTTGGCTTTAAATTTGGATTCTTTTTTAACCAGGTACTGTCATGAACAACTTAAGTGGCTACACACCCCATGTGTAAAAAGATAACTACAGTGACAATGATAGTATAAAAATATATTTGAATGCTATTTCACCTATAAAATCAGGGAGTCTTAACCTTTTTTTTCAGTCATGTACCCCTCCCTTTTGGTAATCTGATGCAGCTTGGAGACTCCCTTCTCAGAATGTTTTTCAATGTGTAAAACAAAATCCAAAAAATTACAAAGGAAACCAAAGGCAAATGAAAACAAAGATTTTATTTTTTAGCCCATCTAAGTCATGGACCTCCTGAAATCTATAACTTTATATGTGTGACAGAATATTTATTTGATCACATTAAACTGAATTTTAAAAGGAACAGGGGTTGGACTTTCAATTTCATAAGCATAGGAAACTCCCAGAAGTGGAAATTTCTCCTACCAATGTTTAGCAGTTATATGGTCTAAGAACAGATTTAGTGAAGACATTTCTGATTGCGTTTTTGTAATGACCATTTATGTAGCTCTGGGGAGGTACTCCCGTGTGTTTTCTTTTTTCTTTGTAAGCAGCAATGTTAGATTTTTGAATGAAAAGCCTAGTGTCAGAAACTGTGTGGTAAATATTCTCACTGCCTGCAGAAAGATTAGCTTTGATTTTAAGCGGAGATTCTAAGTATTCTTAGATCATATAACTGCCAAACTGAACTGAAGATTTTAAAAAAAGAAAAAGTAAAAGAAAATCGGTTAGGGAGAGAAGGCAGAGTGCCTATGACTGTTTCAGCTCCCATCTTGACATTTCTTTTTTTCCTCATTTAAAAAATCAAATCTACAAATGCTACTTACCTAGTTATGTGACCTCGGGAAAGTCACTTAACCAATCTGAGCCTAATGTCCTCTTCTGAAAACTGAGAGCGTTAGACTCGGTATCTAACATACCACAACCCATCACCTAGGCTGACCAGTTGTAAGCTATTAGTCACAAGTCAGCAAGCTATTTTCCCCTTGCACCGTGTCTCTGAGCACATCATTAGGTGCATACTGGTAAAAGTGTCGTCATATTTCTTAACACAGAAGGACAATCATCCGTCTTTCCTGTGCTCCTCCTACTTCCCTACTGTTCAAGACTGCTGGAGGAAAATTGTACTGATTGAAAAAAAGAAAAACAAGCTTTTCCTGACATTCTCTTCCAAATTTAGACAGCCCTTTCTCTTTTGCCAAATATTCCTGTTGGTCAGGATGGATTGGGCCAAAGTGAGCCAGGATGTGTCCAGATGACTGGTATACACTGAAAGGCTAGGAGAGTATACATTTACTAAGAATTCTTACAGATATGCTTGGAACTGGATTTAATTAAAAGACTTCATCAGTAGGGTCAGAATTATTTGCTTTAATACACAAAAGGAAGTTAAATTCATAGTTGAAATCTTAAGAGTGCAAAGGGGCCCCAGTGATCAGATAGTCTAACAGCTTCATTACACAGATTGGAAATTGAGGCTTAGATAACGAAACTGAGGACCACCAAGATCAAGTCACTTGCTTGATATCACACTAGTTAACAGCAAAAATTGGACTAGAACTTAGGTCTGCTAATTCACATACAGGTGGTGGTTCTGTTACAATGCATTTAGAAAACACAAATTTGTCGCAACGTGAATCTGTTCCAACTCAGCTAATATATTAGGGAACATTCAGAGCATAACTTGCTTCTATATGGTTTCTTCCATGAGACAACAGCTTAGAGAACTCAGAAAACTGCACCACTTCACAATAGCTCCCAAGCTGCCTCCCATCAAACTGCAGGTCTTTGCCATAGTAAAGTGTATATCACATACTGTTTGGTGCAGTAGGAGCTGTGAGCAGAGAAGGGTTTGTCTGACCTAGCCTCATCCGTGCTCTCACCCTTTCCTCTGTGCCTGCCCAACATGCTCCTGGCAAATCTGGGGCACAGGCCAAGCAACAGCCCAAAGCTGTGGACAGGCCGGTATTGGCAATATTTATGTATTTCTTAACCATGTAATGTGAATAAAACTGTGCTGTCATTTTTACATTAGATTCCTATCTTTTTTTACATGTCATTGACAAATTTTTGCCTGTAACCCCATTTTCCACATGAACTCTACAGTTCTTCCTGTGTGATTTGCATAGCATGGTGCTTGCTGGGAATGCACATGTTGCATTATAGCAGAACTGCCTAAATAATCGAGTGGTGTTTTTTTTCCCTCAATAGACCATATTAACTCTCAGGGTTAAATCTGGATGTTTATGCAAAATACAATACAGAATGAGTGATGGCTAGGTTGGTCCTTGGGAATCTAAAGACCCCTAAGTGCTACAAAGCATTCTCATCTAGTGAAATGATGGGCTTATTAATAAAAAATGCTCTGACAAACATGACTTGGCCAAGGGTAAATTAGATTTACCTCCTGAGATTTTAGAACTTTCTTTACCAAGAATTTATTATTGTTTGTCTAATTTATCATTAGAATGTGAGGTCTTTCAGCTGGTCAATGTTTACCACAATGTTTTCCAGTGTGGGAACTTTAAATAACTGTTTTTCTCCCATTCATTCACCCAAGTAGGTACAAACAGCAAGACCTCTAGATTCCAGAGCTACAAAAATTCATGGAAACATACAATCTATTAAACAACCCACAGTTTCATGGATGCACAAGCAGTTAAAGAAGGAAAGAAGCATTTATTAAGTGCCTACTATGTACCACGCTGAGTGCTTGACAAATATTATTTCATCTGAATCTCCCAACAACTCTAGCAGACAGGTGCTATTATTATCTCCATTTCACAGCTGAGGAAACCGAGGCAGACAAAAACTAGGGTCATACAGCTAGTAGGTGTCTGAGTCAGGATTTGAATGCAGGTCTTCCTGACTCCAGGCTCAGTGCTTAATTCACACTGCCACCTCACTGTCTCTAAGGGAACTAACATTCAGGGCTCCACTTTCTCCCCATATCTACAGTAAAGCACCTCGTATGGAAAAGGGACTCATAATATAAAGCATGCCATTTAAATGAGGAAGGCCACATAAGACAGTAGGAGGAAACACTATAACACGAGGGGTATGCTTTAAATGTTGGGGTTCACTGGTAGCCTGGGTCATCCTTGGCACGAGGGGAAGGGGAAGAACAATTGTTGTCTGATTACCCTACTATTTTTTTCTTTTGGCTCTGATCCAAATTCTTAAATCAACATGAAATCACTCAGTCTCTCCAGCTCCAATGCCAAGGTGATTTTCATCATGGAAAAATATCGGCTTTTAGTCACCAGAGTAACATCACATTGCAAAAACAGAGAGAGTGAAAGGAATGTGAAATACCAACTCACCCTGCTCTCGACATTAGGCTTCACTCACTGTTTTGCCTGGGTTAACCATTAATGGTAGCTTGGATTTCCAGTTGATTAATGTTTATGGAGTTTTCACAAGTGAGGTGACTGAGCTTTTTGCTCCATTTGGAATCTCCTTATTCGTGGGTTTTAAAAGCAAGCACATAATACACAAACGCATAAAACAAGAGCAGCAGGTCGGTATGCCTTCTTAGTAGATGAGATAACGGAAAGGCCATATGGAAGTTATGGAAAAAATGCTGATCTTGGAGCCAAAGGCCTTGAGTTCAAAATGCAGCTCCTAGCAGAGCTGGGAAAAGTCACTTAACTCATCTGGACCTCAGTTTCCTCATCTGTAAAATAAAGGAGTCAACTTCTCTGATCTCTAAGGTCCCTTCTACCTCTAAAACCTAAAATTCCCACTCCCCAAAACAACAGAAAGTCACTGTATTGTCAGGACAGGGACAAAAAAGCAGCAAGTCACCAGGATACAATGTGGCACAGGACACAGAAAACAAGACCTGGAGTTGGGTAGAGTTGGGTTTGAATCCCACCTCAGATACTTGTACCTGTGTGACCTTAGGCAAATCAATCTTTCTGGATCTCAGCTTCCTTCTCTATACAGTGAAGCAAGGGAGAAGGAGAATGTGATTATTTTCAAGATCCCTTCCAGCTTGATCCTATGATTGTATAATACAAGGCCCCCACACTTCAAATGTTATTCTTCAGGTCACCATATGTCTTGTCCATCACATATGCTCCCATGAGGAATGCAGAATATAGGACAAAATGACCCCTGGTTCCAAAAGTCCCACTAAGGAAAATGGGTCCAATTAATTGAATATGAAGGTCAGAGCTGGAAGTGATCCTGAGAGGTAATCCAGTATAAGTGCATATTTTATAGATAAGAAAACGGAAACCCAGAGTGGTTGAATGAGTTGCCCAAAGTAACACAGAAGTGATAGGTGGTTAGGTGGGAACTGGAACCCAGATCTTCTGTGTTCAGATCCAGTACTCTTTCAATTGCAGACAGAGGAAAAAAAATGACAATTTTAATTCCTAGCCCACAGAAAGGAAAGCAAATATGATGCTCTCGCAACTCTTCAGATAAAAATATATTGTAAAAGTTGAGCTTTCCTTGGAGCTCAGACAGCATTTATTCTTCTCCATTCCCATCATTCCTCCCAAAAAGAATGGCATTCCCAGTAGCTTAGTCACTAAGGTCTACTTGTATAGGATTCAAATTCATTCTGTTTTAAAAGAAGAGAATCTGTGCATTAAATAAAGGCATGGGAACAAAGACAGAGCTGAGTATAAATGGAACATTGACGTTGGGCTCCCTAAAGTAATACCTATCACCAAAACGTACATGAAGAAATGCATCCTTCCTCTCTTAATTCTTTCAACATTTAAGTCAACTGAATCTCAGGGGCATGAAATGACTTCCCAAGGCTACAAAACCAATTCATTATTGTATTAAGATTTTTTTTTTGAGGCAGTTGGTGGTAAGTGACTTGCCCATGGTCACACAGCTAATAATTGTCTGAGACCGGTTTCAATTCAGATCCTTCTGACTTCAGGGACAGTGCTCTAACCACTGAACCACCTAGCTGCCCTGTATTAAGATTTTTAAAAAACCTGAAAATTTGGTCAGCTCAATAACATTATTTCACAATAACCTAATTACTGTGGATGTGTGGATATGTACCCAGATATACACCAATCTTTAAGTGGCCATGATCAGAATGGATACTTCACTATTTGAGGCTATTGCCTCCACCAACATGGATCATACTATTTTTATTGTCAGGAGTTGTTCTGGCTGAATTCATCACCCTGCTGCCTGGTGATCAGTAACTTCAAAATGAGGCTGCAATCTGCCATCACTGAGCGAAACCTAAAGCTATCCCAAGTTAAAGTCCTGCCAAGTTTGTACTCCAGTACCACAGACGTTGAGACCTTAAGCCCCTCTTCAACCCTTTAACAGAGCATTGGGGAAAGCAGCACTTTCACTGATGTCAGCATTAACGAAGCATCAAAAAGGTCAACATTACCTTAGGACTGAGCAAATTCCCTTCTCCTAACCACAGGCAATATGCAAGATGAACTATACCTGATAATAGCCAATGCTTTTTTTTTTTTAAGAAGACTTTTCCCCTATGTCTCCTACCCCGTGGCAAACTTTCAGGAAGACACAGATAAAAGTTATACGGGATAAGCAGGAATGAATAGGTTGTGATCTGTATTCTAGGGGGAACTCCCAAATAGCTGAGATCAAAGACAGAACAAGCTCATCTACCAACTGGCAGTTTGAAATGTTTCTGAACGAGCCAAAAAAAATCTTCACTCTAGATATCCACAGCCAGGTTGCCCCACAGGACTTCAAGCCTAGCGAGTTGTTGAAATAACGCTTTTCAATACTATATAATTATAATGGCCAAAACTGGCCCCAGAGAAGAGTTGAGAAAATTAATCTCCCACCTTTCTTTGCAGAGGCAGAGGGCCATAGGGGTGCAATATTTCATATACTCTCAGGCATGCCTGATTCTAGTGAAGGGCGTCTTTCATTTGCTTTTTCAGATCTTTGTTACCACTTTACCCTGGATCTATCTTGTTTGTACACAGTTATTGACATGTTGTGTCCATCACTAGATTGTGAATTCTTTGAAGGCAGGACTGTCTTCCCCTTTCTCTGTGTCTCCAGCACTAAGCACAATGCCGGGCACATGAAAGGCAATTAATTAATTAATTAATGCTTGTTGACTTGACTTGGTTCCAAGGGATGGATCCCTGGGGAAGGAAGGGCTGTATCAACCAAACTAAGATTTGAGAGAAGATGAGGAGTAGGAGGAGGAAGAGGGAGAGGAGGAAGAGGAAGAAAAGAATCCAGTAAAGAACACTTGCCCCATACAAACTTGCCTAGAACAAGCCCCAGTTTGCTGTTTTTTCTTTTTCATTCATTCTAGATTCATTACTCTTCTATCACTTACTGTTTTTTTGTCACCGTCCTGCTTTGGATCATCAACATAGGAAAGTACATAATCAATTCGCCGTACCCCATCACAGAAGAAAATAGAATCCTTGCTTTGCTGGCGCTTGTCAAACTGTGGAAGACAGAAAGGATACACCATTAACCAAGGTTGTCTCCAGCACATGAGAAACGGAAAGGAAGGCAATGCCTAAGGGTCAGTTGGTGGTTCCTGGCCCACACTCAAAGTGGTGGCCCAAGACCAACAGCAGTGATTATTCTCTCTCTCCCCCCTCCTCTTTCCTTCTTTCCCTCCCTCTCTGTCTCTCTTCCTTTCCCTCCCCCCCTTCCTTCTCTAACTCTCTGTCTCTGTCCCTCCTTCCCCTCTTTCCTTCTCTCCCTCCCTCTCTGTCCCCCATCTCTTTTCTTCTTCCTCTCTTTCCTTCCTCTCTCTCTCTCTCTCTCTCTCTCTCTCTCTCTCTCTCTCTCTCTCTCACACACACACACACACACACACACACACACACACACACAGTCACACACAACAGAGAATCTGAGGGGAAGGGAAGCTAGACATGTGAGTGACATGCACACACAACCCAAATGCTGCATGTATATGGAAAGGTGAACCAAATACATGTGTACATGTAGAATGAAATGCAGAAATAGCGAGGAGCTGGTTAGCTTCACTCTCCAATAGTCAATTACAAAAGAATTTATAAAGCACTTATTGTGTTCAAGGCACCAGGATTACAAACACAAAAACACACGAGTCCCAGCCTTCAAAGTGCTTATATTTTATATCCCATAGACATTTATAAAGCACCTACTGTGTTCAAGACACCAGGATTACAAAGACAAAAACATAAGAGTCCCAGGCTTCAAAGTGCTTATATTTCATATCCCAAAGATTATGCAAGTTCACTGTATATCAGATAAAATCAAGCCAGGCTCTATGCTAGTTGGAATTAACTGAAGCCAGATAAGAATTTCATGATAAAAAAAAGGGGGAGAGGTAAGGAATAGCATTTGGTCTAACTACTGTTTTTTTTTTTTAAAGGCACTGGAATGTCTTCATTTAAGTAGTTTTTTAAAGTTGTTGTTCTGGTAGTTTTTAAAGCAGACCACTAAATGAAGGCGCAGTTAATATTTGAAAAGCAGGCAGCCTACCGACAGCACTAACTGTGCCAGGATGCCTCCATGCACTCCTATCTAAGCAGGGCTCACTTCCCAAACAGATGGCTCAAGTGAGCAAAAACCTATCCCAGGCTGATGCCCAAAGTGCTCAGTTCTCCTGAGTGATAAGAGAACCTATGGGATTAAGTTTCATTTGTGGCATGAACTCATCACTTCCTTCCTTTTGAAAGCATTAAGAGCACTGCAAAGTGGCAGTGCCAGGCAGGGAGTGGCTATGGGTTTCCCTCCTCTGATAAGTGGTTTACACAGCTGGCAACAAGGCTGCTGGGCTTGATCTGACGTATCTTGCTGTGTTATAAAAGGGAAGCCGAATCCGTGGCCCAATCATACCAAACCATTTGGACAAACTGTGTAACCAGGTACCTGGCAGATGAAATGGGTGGAATTGTCCTCCTTGGACCATAGATTGAGAAGGAAGGGGACACTTAGGGGTCAACTAGTCCAAGCTTATAATTTTACTGAAGCCCAGATAGATGAAAAAAACTTAGCCAGCATCACACAGGTCATAAGTGACAGGGCTGGATTATAACCCAGTTCCTCTGACTCCAAAACCAGTGATTTTTTTTCCCACTAAACCATCATGCTCATTTCATAAGCATCTGAACTAACTGTGTTATTTATATAACTTATATCATATCCATCCAAGTTAGGACATTGAGACTTCCCCAAACTGGAAATATGCCTGCATGGTGACTACAGTTGTCCTGATATGACCAAAACGTCACCTTCTATTTAACTGATAGTCCTTGGATAACTATACTATGTTTCTGTGATTGAGGACAAAGGCAGATGTGTCTCCAACTGAACTTGGCTGCCAGGCAGAAATGGTACTGACTATACTTAAGAGGACTTTTCTGTACAAATAAAAATATGCTGAGGTGCGGGGGAGAGAAAGACAGGGAATTGGTTTTCCTACACATGGGAGAAGGGCCTTGTCTTATGCCTGGCCACAAATGATTGTTAAAGCCAGCTAGGGGAGACACACTGCATTATAGGAAGGCATGAATAAAGTCTGACAGTAGGGACCCTTATCCCGTGTGATACCTGGACCATGATGGTTATATCTCAGAAAGTACTTTTTGACACTCAGATGTTTTCAGTTAGGCAAAATATCAGCAAAGTGGCCTGGTGACAAAATAGCCACAAATGTGGCCTCTGATTCTGGATAAACAGAATTATATATATGCCCTTGTGCAAACATCTGGGAAGACTCCTCTAAGACTTTAGCAGGCTATGACCTAGGAAATGGATGATGGGAATCACTCAAATCTAACAGGGCTGAACCAGGGAGGGGAAGTGCTGAGCTAACAGAGCTGCCACCCAGGAAAGCAGGTTTTCACTGCAGCCATCCAAACTGCAAGCAGTGTAAAAACAACATCGGATTACCATGAGACGCCGCCGCAGGAACAGGTTAAATCTCTTTGCTGTCTGTGGAGCAACCGACAGAAAATTAGCAGATGCTGCCCACCCACCACAAGAATCAAGATATACCAAGAGCACTCCTCTTTGGATCTGTTTGGCTTTCCTCGGCCTCCTTGCTGATACTTGTGAATTACGTATTTTACCCTGAAACACTTCCACAAATTCACCACCGAGCAGTTAAGGAAAAAAATGGATTTTAACCATGGTAGCATCTCATGCAGCTATTGTGAGGGTTCCACTGGTGCAAAGCCAAGTCAGTTTGCATTGAGTAAGAACACTTTTGGAAGCCATTTAATTTTGAGGTTGGGGTCATTCTAATAAATGCAGAATCCTGGAGTTATCTGAAGGGTCCTATAGACTGGAAAACTTCATAGGAGGATGGAGCCACTACTGAGTACCTGGGAAAGGGGCAAGCTATTGAAAAAAAAAAAGGTTTCAAAAAACATTAAGTGAAGACTCTAAGAAAAAGAACATGAGAAGGACTCAAATATTTTCCATTCATCAACAAACATTTATTAATCAGCAATGCCTGGAAAGATAGCTCCTATACAGACTCTACTCTCAAAGACAATACAATTGAGGTGGGGTAGAGGTATACATATTCAAATAACTATGCTACAAGGCAAAGTGAGATAAGTGTAAAGTTATAATTTTGACATATTATTCTAGACATGGAGTAAGCAACCTATAGTATTGGTACACTTCAATGGCAATTATCCAGACACCCTACCCCTTCTCACCATGGTCCCTTGGCTAGAAATTTAAATATCTATGCTGATTTTACTTATACACACACACACACACACACACACACACACACGTATATGTATATATACCTGCCATCATAGCTTTGAGATTTTAAAATTCTTTTCACTTTAACTCTATTTCAGCCACTTAATGTAACAAACATACCTTAGACCACAAAGTCAGAACTGTTATAGTTTCAAGATTTATTTCTAACTTTCTCTCACAGTTGCTATCTTTCCTCATGTCCCTACTACTCAATCCACTCTCAGCCTTCATCATGAGATCTTGCTCCCTCTTTTACCAAGCTACGCCCTGTTTTGGCTCCATGTACCTCTCTACTTGGCCTTTGACCCAATCATCAGTCACTTCAAGGGTATGCTTGGCCTCTGTCCTTGAATCCTTCACATCTTTGACCTTCTGACCTGTCATTCAAGCCGGGCTAACTCCTTCCCTTATCTGCTCTACTGCTCAAGCTTCTGGGCTTGTTCTCAAGTCATGAAACCCTCATAGTTGGGTTCAGTACAAATTCCTGTTATCTCTCTTCAGGTAACCTGTCACTGCAACATAGAAGTCTTTTCATTATGTCATGGACTCCTTATTACATTCCTCAAAGCAGCTATTCTAAATCTTTTTGACTTTCCTTTACTTTCTCCAATACCTCTCTTCTGCCTCTCCTCCTGCTTCTCAGCAAATGACTACGCCTCCTATTTTATTGAAGCCATAGTCATAGGTGAAAACACAGCATCTAAGACCTGGGTCTGAATCCTGGACTTTTTTTACTACCCCTGTAGCTTTGAGTAAGCCTGTTAACTGGTGTTATCCTTAGTTGCTAAAATATAAAGTGGGGATTAGAGAACCAGCCAATAGGATCAAGAATCCTTTCTACTACCTACACAACTAGTAGTCATCCAGCCTTTGCTTGAGGGCACACTGTTTGGAAGAACCCACTACCTCTCAAAGCAATGGTATCAAAGTCAGGTGGAACTAAAACCCATTAAACTATACACATATTGGCTTAGAAACTCACATATTAAAATCATCTATGTTGTACTGTATTTTTACTCATCTTGTCAAATATTTCCAAATTACATTATAAACTGGTTCAACAGGTCTTATGTTTGACATCTCTGCTCTCAAGGCATTCCACTCTTTTGGACAGTTCTAACCATGAATCCCTTAACTCTCTCCAACCTCTACCTCTGCCCACACATACTCAAACCTATCTCCTCCTTCTTACTCCCAAACTCTTAGAAAGGATAATCCACACTCATTAACTCCTCTTCCTCACCACTCATTAGTTCTTAAACCCATCATTGTTGTTGTTGACTTGTTTCAGTTGTGTCTGACTCTTCATGACCTCATTTGAGATTTTCTTGGTACTACATACTGAATACTGGAGTGGTTTGCCATCTCCCTCTCCAGTCTATTTTACAGATGGGAAAACTGAGGCAGTGTTAAGTGACTTTCCCAGGGTCACACAGCTGGAAAGTGTCTGAGGCCAGATTTGCACTCAGGAAGATGGGCCTTCCTGATTCTAAGCCCAGCGTTCCACCCACTGTGCCACCTAGCTGCCCTTCAAATCCTCAATGTCCACCAACCGAAATGATTTTCCTTGATCCTCCTCTTTCCCTCCAGCTCCAGAATGAGATAATTATCCTTTCCCCTCATTCCTCTTATGTCTTTGACTCCACTTTCCTTCCCACCTTCTCAAGAACTCTGTACCCCCAGATTACCCTTGTTTCTATCTCACGTCTTCCTGTGCCAGTGTTG